CATCCATCATAATCCTTTTACAAGTAATCTAAAGAAAACAAGCCTTAGACAGGCTTTAATGGTACTCATAACAAAAAACATGTATTGCAGACCATTTGGTGAAACATAGAGATTAAAAAAATAGGATGATAATGATGGCACAGTTACAATGGACAACGTTGGAGAAACCCCACTGTCTTCCCATCTCTCTCTTTTGTTTAATGCTGATGTTTCTCAGGTGCTATTTTTGGCATGTTGCAAAAGCTGTTCCAGTCATCTATTGAGAGAGGTTAAATAGGTACAGGAACAAAAGGCAATGCAAGAGCACCATTCAGTGGTTGTCTGTTTTAGTGCAACCTGGCTCCTGTTTCTTTCTAGAAATATAGTGCAAGAACGTTTTTTTAAGGAGCAGAAACAGAATAATTAGAAATGTCTTCTTGTATGAGATAGGTGTGGCTACTCTGTTTTGTTAGCAGGGAGAATTTTTTGCATCTGCCTGTGCACGCTGAGATGAGGAAAGCTGGATTAGATGAAGGTGGAGTGAAAATTCATGGAAGGAAGATTAACGATTTGAGATATGCAGATGACACCACATTAACTGGCAGAAATGAGGACTTGAAAGAACTACTGATGAAGGTTAAAGCAGAAAGTGCCAAAACAGGATTACAGCCAAACATCAAGAAGACAAAAGTAGTGAGTACAGGGGAATTACACAACTTTAAGGCTGCTGCTGATGAAGAAATCGAAATTGTAAAAGATTTTCTGTTCCTTGGCTCCATCATCAACCGAAAGGGAGACGGCAACCAAGAAATCAGAAGGCAACTGAGACTCAGAAGGGCAGCCATAAAGGAGCCAGAAAAGACTCTTAGGTGGAAGGATGTGTCACTGGTGACCAAGATCAAGAAAATTCATACCACGGTATTCCCCATTACTATGTATGGGTGTGAAAGTTCGACAATGAAGAAAGCTAACAGGAGGGAAATTGATTTATTTGAAAGGTGGTGTCGGAGGAGTTTTAGGAGTACTGTGGACTGCTATAAAAACAAAGAAGTGTGTTCTAGATTAAATCAAGCCTGGCCTCTCCTTAGAAGTTAAAAGTGACTAAACTGAAGCTGTCATACTTTGGCTACATTATGAGTAGACATCGTTTGCTGGAAAAGACCATAATGCCAGGGGAAGCTGAAGGCAGCAGGAAAAGAGGAAGATCCAACTATGACAGGTGGTTTCTATCAACTGAGGGGACCCACACAGCCTCCTATGATTTTGTGGGAACCAGGTTTATTTTAAACTATAACCCTTTCCCTCAATACCAGGTGTTCTAAAGGTGGAGCGTGTCTAGGCTTTGGATGCGCTGCTGTGAGGTAAACTCTGTAGTGCACAAGTAGAATACAGAGGTCACTGAGGCAGGAATTATATGTTAACAGCAAAGAAGATTGATTCATTTACAAGTAGGTTTCCAGGAACAGATTAGCAGCATAGGGCTCCAGATAGACAAAAGAGAAACCTGGCTGAGGCACATTAATTTAGAGAGTAATTTAAATTTTCTCTAATACTTTCCAGCACAAACAGACTTTTACTGATTAATCACTAGGTTGGATCCTAACACATCCAGGATTCCACCAACACCAGCCTGCCTTTTCCCAAGAGTCGGACTAAATGGCACAAGGTCTGCTCATTGCCAGAGACAGGCCTAACAGTTGGGTAATCTATTCTCCGTCAGAAGACAAACCAAACCACTCTGCCACACTACCAGGCAGAGCAGTCCTTCCCTCTGTCTGCTCTTTTCCTGAGCCAGACCTGAGCTCTCATTGCTCTCTCCCTGAGGCAGAACTTCAACTCAACTCCTGCAGTGTTTCCCTCCAACATTCCATCCCCCTTCTCAAAGGTGACTGGATCCTGGAGCAGTGTTCCCATAGGCTAAAGTGAGTGGGTTTTTCCCCTTCAGGGTCAGGACAGCCTTCATCACACCTACATCAGATGGACTGACTCAATAAAGGAAGCCATGGCCCTCAGTTCACAAGACCTGAACAAGGCTATTAATGATAGGATGTCATTAACTCATAGGGTCACCACAAGTTGGAAGTGTCTCAACAGCACTTAACACACACGCACGCATACACACACATCATAATATGGAGGGAAGTGTCTCAACAGCACTTAACACACACACATAATAATATGGAAGATTATAGAAAGTGCTTCCTGATACCTGAATAAGCTCTTAGAATTAGAAAGTTTTCTTCCATTATTCAATCAAATATGTTTGCAGGCATGCACAAAAGCACACACAATCATTCACATGTGCACTTTAAGCAATGCCATAATATAGCTGTATCTTTTTTTCATAAGTTTCACATGTTTTCATATGTTTGATGTCACTAACTTGGTTAAGCAACGTAAATTAGAGGTAACAGAGTATCATTCTTTACATCTGAATGAAGCTTCTAAATAGGCCTAAAGCAATGTATGCAAGTGATCCTTATGATTCACATATAGATCCCCTTCAGCTTTCAGCTCTTATGCCTTATTTTACTGATTTGTTTATTTTTCTCATGACATCACCAGCCCGCTTCCTTATAATCACAAGGCTGGTGGGAAGTAGCTTATATGATACAGTGACCGAGACATCATCAATTCCCTCAGCTGACATCCTTGGGTCAATCGGTCTCAACCTCAGGGGACAAGAAAAGCCTGTATCTAGAACTTTGGCCAGATTTTTGACCCCAAAACTGAGAAAGCAAATTTAAATAAAACATTAAAATATATAAATACATTAGAATCTTTATCAAATAATACAGTCTTGAAATACAGCCATGTAAATGTGAGCCAGTGTGAGCCGGAGTGTCAGACTGGGGTTCGAATCACTCAGCTACTAAGTTCACTGGCTTTTCTGTCAGCTCAAAGTACCTCCCAGGTTTATTGTGAGGATAAACAGGGATAGGGGAAGACACTGGAGGAAGAATATGTATACAGTCCTGAGCTCTTTGGATAATGGAGGAATAAAATGGAATACATAAATCAACTTGATCACTTGGTCCAACACCAGCCACAGTGCAGGGATGCAGTTCACTGGTATTTCAAAGGCAATAGCTATAGTATCTAGGTAGTTTACTGTTCCTAGAAACATTCTAATGCAGCCTATTGGGTTTTAAGCCCCACTACATCTTTTGGAAATATATAAGGCAAGCCAAACAATTCCCACAAACAGTTCAATTCCAGTTTATGGCATTTAGCTACTAATGGGAGAAAGCCTCAAGATCGTTTTTCAAAGTGTTTTGTAGTGTGCATAGTTACTTAAACACGTGCTCTAAAGCTCATAATCACATTCTTTTAATTATTCATGGAGCCTAAATGAGGAATGGGGACATTTAGAAAGATCTTCTGCCCAAAGGAAGCAAAGTTAATGTTTTTCCCCCAAAGTGCTTATTTGTCCTTCATCTAAGACATCATTACTATAACAAACTAAATTGACTCACATAACCATCCTTCACAGATACGTGGCTGAATCAAATCAACAAATTAATTGAATGAAGAATTAAGTTCTAGAAATTGCTACAATAGCAAAGTTCACCCACTCTACTTCTGCTTAGCGCAGATCTCACCCTGCAGCGGGCATTCCATGTTTTTGAACATTCCAAGCAGCTGTACAAAAGTGCAGCAAATAATGTGTGGTGTGGTGGACTTGTAAAGAACATAGTGGAAGTCTGAGATAGTTCAAGCTTCCATATTCTTGGAAGGATATGGGTGGAAATACGGGGAACTTGCATCCCCTGTAGAATTGCTTAGAATCAATATTTATGTAACTGGATCATTATGGTAACAGAACACACAGTTCTCTCCTATACCACAGCCCTCTCCATCCTTCAGGAATTGATTGTTGATCTTAACCTGACGTGGCAAAGTCACTGCTCTCCTTGGAGGCCAGGATAGGGGCTCTGGGGCAAGTGATGCTCTGTCATCTTGGTGCTTGGGGGGGGTCAACAGTGGGAGGGCTTCTAATGTCCTGGCCCCACTGGTGGACCTCCTGATGGCACTGGTATTTCTGGCCACTGTGTGATACAGAGTGTTGGACTGGATGGGCCTTTGGCCTGATCCAACACTGGCATCTCTTATGTTCTTATGATCCATGTAAATCATGATAGGAGACATGTAAAGACAAGGACTTCCCATTGTCTTCTAGAAACAGGGAAGCATTCGATGTATGAATCAATTCAGAGGTGACGTAGTGGCTAGACATTCTTTAGATTGCGAAACCCAGGTTCAAACTGCTGTTCAGCTACAAAGCTCACGTAGATTTGAGTCCAGTAGCACCTTAGAGACCAACAGGATTTTTCAGGGTATGAGCTTTCAAGAGACAAAGCTCCCTTTGTTGGTCTCTAAGGTGCTACTGGATTTGAATCTAGCTCTTCTACTGCAGAGCTACACAGCTGCCCTCTAAAGCTCATCTAACGACTTTGGGCAAGGGCTTCTCAGCCTACCATACCTCTCAGGCCCGTATTAAATCCACAGAATACATCCTTGAAAGAAGGAAAGACGGCATAGAGAACCTTTAATAAAAATACATTAACTCACTAGCTAAATGGAGATGATCTTATGTAAGTAATCCTGAACTTCTTGGAGGATGGGAGGTATACAAATGTGACATATTAGATGTACTGTGGCCAATCTCTATTCATGAGCAAAGTATTTTCCTTCAAAGAAGAAAACAGGCAACACTTGCACACGAAGTACACCGTAATTTTTATTTTATACTAACAGAAACTTTGGACAACTAATAGCAGGATAATTTAAAGACCACATCTATAACTCTGACAAATTTACTACTTCTCATCTACTGAAAAGTGTACACAGTAAATATGCCAGCGGTACATAGTACTATCTGAAAAGAAAAGGTTTAATATGTCAATATATATTAGAAAGGGTTCAACATTTTCATTTCATTTATTCCAAATTTAGTAGTCCAGACTGAAAATAAATCAGTTTCTACTGAAACCTGCTAGCATTACAAAATTTGAACTTACTGATTGTTACTTTATCCTTATCTCCCAGCATGATATTGTTTGGTGTGAGGTCTCTATGGATAATTCTCTTCTCTTTGTGCAAATATCGAAGAGCTAAACACAGCTTTACAACAAAGAAAAACCTTAATATAAATGCAAAACCATATATATCAGTGACTTTCAAATGGTAAGTTTAAAACCTAGCAGTAGAGAAACAAGTTTTGTGGGAGGCGGCACGGAAACTCTGGACAGTGTGGTGTCAAAAATGGTAACAGATGAGAAAATTTCTAGGATGGTATAAAACTGACTGAAGACCATAGTTTGTGTAACCAATAAGCACACTGATAGAATCCTCCAAAATGTCCCAGTTGAATTATTCATTTTGTGCACTCTATCAGTCCTTCAACAAACTGCATCTGGGATATACGCAGGGCAAAGCTGGCTTGCTTCTAACCCATCCACTGTGTTGCTGTACCTCTAAAGAGAAGACCTAGATATACACTGTAACTCTCCAAAGAATATAATGCTTTAAAGGAAATTTTGTCAATTTTGCTCCTGCTTTCAGAGGCAGGAAATGAAACTTTATCCTCAGTTCTGCAGAAAAGCTAACCAAAGTCTTAATGCAAAGTCTGAAGAATACTTCTGGATTTGCCAAGCAAATGGTATTCTGAGACTCTGCCTTGAGATTTTAGTTAAACTCACTGCAGGTAAAGGGTCTGGGAGAGCCAGTGTGGTGCAGTGGTTAGTGTCAGGGTAGCATTTGGGAGACTCTGGTTTCATCCCCACCCTGCCATGGAAGCTCACCAGGTAACCTTAGGCCAATCACTCTCTTTCAGCCTAACCTACCTCACTGTGTTTTATGTTTTATTGTGAGCAGGGGTCGTTTTGTAGAAAAAGAGCTAGGGGAACTCATTAGCACAACTCATTAGCATATGCCATACCCCCTGACATCACCAGAAGTGTGTCATAAGGCCACACCCCCTGAATGCGCTCGCCCACTTGGGGAGAGGGGATCAAAGTGTAATACAAGCCTCCTCCGAGACTTGATCATACCAATCTCAACTCTCTCTTGGGTCTTGATGCCTGCCAGTCATTCCCCCTGCCTGGGGGAAGCCGAGTTGGACCAAAATACAGTCCAAACTGCTGTAAGGAACACCCGTCCACCCTGAGCACTGACAGGGTGTGTCAAATTGCCATTTTACCCCGACTGGAAGCAGGGGGCGGGGCTTCGTCGTGTGCCCCGCCCCCGCACCTCACCTGGGGGAACGGCGATCCCCCACGATCCCCCGAATCAACCCCTGATTGTGAGGATAAAAAGGAGAAGCGGTGAGCAATGTTGAAAGCCACTTTTGATCCCCATTAGAGTTTTCAGTCTGTCTGAAAACAACTCAAACATATTTGAGTATTATGGCTTGGGAAGGTTTCCCTGACATAATTGGCCATGTCTCAAGGAGGAGGAGGAGATATTGATTTATACCCCGCCCTTCACTACCCGAAGGAATCTCAGAGCGGCTTACAATCTCCTTTCCCTTCCCCTCCCCACAACAGACACCCTGTGAGGTAGGTGGGGCTGAGAGAGCTCTGAGAGAACTGTTCATGAGAACAGCTCTGAAAGAACTTGTAACTCACCCAAGGTCACACTAGCAGCTGCATGTGGAAGAGTAGGGAATCAAACCCGGTTCTCCCAGATGAGAGCCCATACTCCTAACCACAACACCAAACTGGCTCTCAAAAGCCCAGCATGGCATACTGTGCAAAATACACATTGGGGAAAATTGTTGTTAGGTTGTTGTCACCCACCCACTGACAATTGGCCATTACTCATCTGTTACCAATGGGCCAGGGAACATCCTGCAGCCAGCTGATTTTTGTTTTGAGCTGTGACCACCAATTTTAATGTTTATTTGTTTTAAATTTTTAACTGTATGTATTGTATTGCTAATATGATGTTACCTGCCCTGAGCCCACTCATGGGATGGATGGGATAGAGATACGAAAAACAAATAAATAAAAAATAAAAAGAAGGCTCTCAACATGTCTCAAGCGGCTTCTGTAAGGCTTGGATAGTTGTGTGCCGCTCCTCATCCAAAGGATGCCTCTGACACCTACACGGCTACATTCCACAGAGTTACCATTTCTGCAGTGACCGCACTAACTGCAAGACAAAATACAGCTTCCTAGAAATTAAATCTTATGGCCTGAATGGTAGGAAGACTGCCATGCAACAGAACAGCAAACTTGAACAGCATACAGTGAAATGTTTCAGGATCAATGACACAGTTCTTACCCTATCTTGGGAACAATAAACATAAATGAATCACTGTCCCTGAATCAAACGCTACACAAAGAAAAAGCAATTAACATAAATTCAGAGCCTTACTTGAATGAATACATTCCATATTCTATCTTCGGCAAACTGCTGTCGCTTTTCCTTCAATGAATGAAAATGTTCTCCCAGTGGTGCCCCTTCTATGAGCTCCATGACTATGTACAGCCTGTCATCTATACACAACAAAATAAAATAGCAGTAGCAAAACAATATTCTATTTCTGCATGCAGTAGCTGACTAGGGAACACCATACTATAAAAACTGTGGGAGCTAAGCGAAAGGATTTCCCAAATCAGAACTGGTTGACCACTATCACGGCAGGAACACAACAGCATAAGGATCTATGGCCTCAAAAGGAAATGATTAACCCACCAACCAATGTGTCTTCTAAAACTTCCTAAAATTAAAACACCTCTTTACAGGGCTATGTGAAAAGTTAACAATGATTGTGTCCATTGCATAGTGTGTCCGGCTAGTCACCACATGAAACAGACCCAAGGTGGTAACATGGGCCAAAGATCCTGCTTCTGGATTCACTGTTTATACTGAAATCACCCAAGACAAGGAGTTCTGACATCTGGAGAGCCCCCATCTCTTGTGGGATAACTGGTACATCAAAGAATCTGAAACAGACCTGATATCTCCAACACAAAGAACACACAGCTAGATGTCTCCATCCCTGCAGCTTTTGATTTGCCAGTTATCCATCTAAGCAAAAAATTCTCAGCAACCTCTAATGACTACATGTGGGCATCTGAGAGATCAAGTCTGTCATTTTGCAGAACTGAGACCCAGCATGGTGTTGTGGTTAAGAGCGGCGGACTCTAATCTGGAGAACCAGGTTTGATTTCGCACTCCTCTACATGAAACCTGCTGGGTAACCTTGGGCAAGTCACAGTTCTCTCAGAACTCTCTCAGCCCCACCTACCTCACAAGGTGACTGTTGTGGGGAGAGAAAGGGAGGTGATATTAAGTCGCTTTGAGACTCCTTAAGGAAGAGAAAAGCAGGGTATAAGAACCTCCTCCTCCTCTGGATATGGGTTTAAGAGTGGTCAGGAAATAATTCATATCCCTCATACACACTCTGGATTCTGGTGTCAATTAAAAATCTCTGAATCCCAGTTATATATTAAAATTCAGTAAATTATCCAATGTCCCCAAATATCTATAGCTGGAACAAAAGCTTCTTGATGATGTCATGAAGACTTAGGTCCTATTTTTTAAATTTTGTATTAAAAACCTTTCTATGGTAACAAATTAGTTTAACAAAGTAGTCTTGTAAATATATACTTACTTTCTAAGAATGTTCTGTAATATCGTACAACATTAGGATGATAAAGCTACAATAAAATAACATAAAGTTAGGGTTAGATGGAACATTCATGTTTGTAACATCTAGTCACGGCAAGATGAGGAGAGAAGCACAAGCGCAATGCAATGTGCATTGTCACTGCTAAGTACTGTGACTAGGAAGATAACCTAGTAAGATAAAACCATCTTATCTCCTTTTCTTTATACTGTTTGTTAACACTTTACAGGGTCCCCCCAATAGCTCAATTCCCCTTTCAGAAGCTTTCCCCTCCCCTTTATTTTAGCACTGATTTAGGGTTAGCTACTAGTGGTTAAGACACTGAATTGCAGACCGGAAGGTTGGTAGTTCAACAGTTTGAGACCCGAGTGCTGCATGACAGAGTGAGCTCCCATCTCTAGTCACAGCTCCTGCCAACCTAGCAGTTCGAAAGCAAGAAATTGCAAGTAGATAAATAGGTACTGCTTCGGTGGGAAGTAACAGCGTTCCGTGCACCTCGGCATCTAGTCATGCCAGCCACATGCCCACAGAAACATCTTCAGACAGCACTGGCTCTTCAGCTTGGAAATGGAGATGAGCACCGCACCCTAGAGTCGGATTCGACTGGCTTTCGAGCAAGGGAAACCTTTACCTTTAACTTACTTCAGGGGTATGAATGTGGTGAGATCACATTCGTAGACGTAGACGTAGAAAAATAAATATATATAAATACACACAGACACATTCTCTTTAGATATAAATATATACACATATATGAATCTCTTTGCAAGTGGAAAATAATATCTCAATTGACTTTCACAATGCAACCATAAGCACACATGCTTGAAATCTGCGAAACTCCAAGTAACTGTATTTATTTATGGGTGCAACATTATAAACCATTATAAAAAACTGGCTTTACCATTTCTGTGATGTTAGAAAGAATCAAGTTCTACTCTTTCGCTCGTCAAGTTACAGCCTAGAATTAGAGTTTACCGTGCTTGTCACCAAGGTCAGGAAATGGCTGTGCCACTTCAGAAGCATAGAAAGAACTAAGCATTAATGAGTGGTCTATTCTAGATGGGGGAAAGGAAGGGAATGTATGCAAAAGGAATACAAATGTTTAAACTTCTATGTTCCCTATTTTATGGAACAAAGGTGGTCATTGCAGTTCTAGTGACGTGCAACTTTGTTTCCAGACAGACAGATTCAGGTAGGTAGCTGTGTGGGTTCCGAAGCAGCGGAACAAAGTTTGAGTCCAGTGGCACCTTTAAGACCAAGAAAATCTTATCTGAAGAAGTGTGCTTGCACACAAAAGATTGTAAGGTTCAAGGAAGGGCAGAGCGAGAGGGCCAGAAGAAATCAACACACACACAACCGTTTCTGGTAAAAACATGGCCACACTTATTTATTAATACAGACAGAGGAGCTATGGTGCAGCATTGGGATGGATCCAGGCATTGGGTGACCCGCCTGCCACTCGATGGACCCCTCCCCTCCCAGCCCACCTGCTAGGGGATCGTCCATGGAGTGACAAGATACTGGGACACATGTGGGCACCAGCCTCTACATGGTCCCCCTGCCACCTGGAAGTGGAAGCCAGCCGGCAGTCCCTGTCAGTAGCACCAATGAAGACAGCTGCCAGTGACTTCTTCAAAAACACTGTGTTTTCAACAGTGGTTAAATAAAATCTGGGACTATTTTATTTTAAGTAAAATTACTTATAACTTAATTAAAGTAAAGGTAGGCTCCCTTGCTCGAAAGCCAGTCGAATCCGACTCTAGGGTTGCGGTGCTCAGCTCAGTTTCAAAGCCGAAGAGCCAGCGCTGTCCGAAAACGTTTCCGTGGTCATGTGGCCGGCATGACTAAACACCAAGGCGCAAGGAACGCTATTTTTTAATGTTTATTTTGTATTTTAAGATAGTTACATGCTTATCTGGAGGTTACTGACTGCTGTTTAAAGTAAAGGTAAAGGTTCCCTTGCTCGAAAGCCAGTCGAATCCGACTCATCTCCGTTTCAAAGCCGAAGAGCCAACGCTGTCCGAAGACATTTCCGTGGTCATGTGGCCGGCATGACTAAACACGAAGGCGCAGGGAACGCTGTTACCTTCCCACCGAAGTGGTACCTATTTATCTACTTGCAATTTCTTGCTTTCGAACAGCTAGGTTGGCAGGAATAACTTAATTAATGTTCCAATAGTTCAATACCAGAACAAGTTGGTTAAGACTTGGTACCCAATAGTTAGTTACTTAATGGAAAAAAGATTTACTTCCTCAAAATCCTTTGTATCAAGATTTGATTTATTTTTAATTGTTAAAAATTATTTAAGTTTATGTTTATCTGTATCAATGTTATTGTTAAAAGTTAAACATTGTTAATAATAATTTAAAAACCACTGTGTTTAACATGTAGACTACAAAGAGGACACAATCCCATGTTGGAACATCTTTATTGTAATCCTCATTCTTGAAATCCACACCCTTACAGCAATTAGCAGTTTTTAAGGCTTAAAAAAGCGAAAAGGTTTTATAGTTGTATGACTTATAATGACTATTGAACATAAAGGAATTAGATTACATAAAGCAACACCAACAAAGAATACCTAGTTGCTGCCTCTTGTCATTTTACACAGTCAATAGGTTGACTTTGTCTAGCAAACGTCAGTATAGGTAAACTACTTTTTTCATTAGCATTCAAAATCCTGCACATGTTTATTTGAAAGGAAGAACTATTGATCTCCTAAAACTTATTTCCTGTTTATTAATAATAACAAGCTTAAACTTACCTGTTCCTTAATTATGGTTAATTCAGAGACAATGTTCTTCATGCTATTGTCTCGATCTTTTTTATCCTTTCCAAATGCTGGATTATGTAAATTGATCTCTTTCATCGCTAGAAAGTTTTGGCCACTGTGTTTTCTAACCTACGACAAGGAGGAAAAACTGTAAAAATCAACAAGAAAAAAGGAGCATGTTCTGAAAAGTATTTGGATGTGAGGGTGGATCTGGCTGTGGCATCTGTCACCCCACTGATTGCCAGGGTTGATTTGGCTGATTCGGCTGGCTAGGCGGGTGTCCCCTACCTCCCTCACCGCTACATGTGCGTCCCTCCCAAAGCTGCGTGCTCGGTCGAAGAGGACGACCATCCCAGACTTGACTGAAAAGCATTTGTTCAGTGAAACTGCATTTTGTTCAGTGAAACTAACTGCATGAGATACCTGACATTTTGAAAGAACATAGCAGGAGATCTGGCTAGAAATTGGGAACCTCAGAGTTTATGCAGCTCCACTACATTTGAGGTGCACTCCCATGCAGAGTTACTGCTGTGAAAATCCACTAAGATGTATGGGCTTAGACTCATCTAGCTCCAGGATTGCATTGCTGGTGGCTAAAAGAATACCACTTTCAGCATTTATACTGCATACTTCACATATGTTATCTCAATACTGGACCTTGATTATAAGAACCCTGCATACCCATATTGCACACTTGGGGGAAGGGGTGGGGAATGGAGGGATACTGACTTGCCTAATAACATCTAGGAAGCAGAGGTGAGATTCAAAGTGAAGACTAAACAAAATCTGATTCCAGTAGCACTTTTAAGAGCAACAAGATGTCCAGTGTATAAGCTTTAAAGAGTCAAAGCTCCCTCCATCTGACAAAGGAAACTTCAATGCTTGAAAACTTATACCCTGGAAAAAAAAAAAATTTATGTTGGCCTTTAAGGTACTACTGGTCTCAAATCTTACTCTTCTACTACAGACCAACATGGCTACCCATCTGAAACAGAAAAACAAATTATAGGTAGGGACTCCGCTAATCCAAAACATATGGGCCATTTTTATGCAGAGAAAATAGGGAAAATGAAATCTGAAATAATATGGGAAGGTGGAGAGAAGAACATATTTAATCTGTATCAAAAGGTAATTTTTACCTTGTAAACACTTCCAAAAGCTCCACTGCCAAGGTGATCTAATATTGCATAATAGCCTATGTATTTAGTAGGTGCTTTGTTCTGATTAATGTTCTCAATATTTTCCGCAATTTGATTAACTTCATCCTCCTAGTTATGAGATAAATTGAAAACCTTAGTTTGACTGATGTGACATTTGCTGGCAGGATAATGGCTCTGTCTTTACTCACAGTTCTAGCTTACAAAGTCCCAAACAGCATTGGCCTACACACTTTAGAGACCACTTCCTCCCTTATGTACCATCTCAGTCCCACCCAGAACACATTACTGAACACATTATTCAAGTCCGGTGCTAAGTTCAGAGAGGAAGAGCACATGTGGATATTGTCTGTGTGTTATAGCCTATGTTCCCTGGAGACCTGCCTAAGCTCAAGAAATTTCCCCAAGACTCATGTTTGGAAACCTGATTAAACTGAAGGATTTTAATAGATTTTCTTTAGTCTGAACAAGCAGCAAACATCTACTACTTACCAATAATGAATTTAGCTTCGCTACCAACTCTTCATAAGCACTGATCTCAGGCAAGCATGAGATGCAGAACAAAGCAACACACAACATACAGCAATCCCTGAATACATATTGCATAGGTATTCATGCTAGAGACACACATAAGCAGCATCACCACTATACAGAAATACAAACATAAGCTCATATCGTTACATTGCGAAACAACTGTTTACATCTGAAAATATATCTTAGTGCAAACTAGGTGAATGTAGAGGCAATACACATTTTAGCAGACTCTTCAAACTAAAGAGAACCTGACCGACAGACAAAAACTGCACACTGCATGTAGCTAGTCAAAAGAGCTGTTAAATGGGCTGGTTATATTTCATTTTGATACTATTCTTCCAGCATAAACATCACACATTAAGGAATGGTAGCTGTATCGGTAAAAAACGTGAGAAACCCGGAAAAAAGGGAAACTGCTCAGCTAGCTGTTTCAAATTTGACAGTCTTTGAAGCTTTTACAGTTCTTATTCAGGCTTAGAAGTTCAGAGTAAAAATGCAATGAAATAAAGGTAGAACAACCACTTATAGACATCATTTTGTTGATCTGTAGGCACTGGGACAGATGACCCAACCTGCTGCAGTTGACTACAGTTGCTCCTTTGGACACATAGATTAGAGTCCAGCAGCACCTTAGAGAACAACAAGATTTTCAGGGTATGAGTTCACGCCCCGAAAATCTTGTGTGTCTCTACGGTGCTACTGGACTCAAATCTAGCAGTTCTACTGCACACTAACACCGCAGCCCTCTGAAACCATCTCCTTTGGACATGGTGGCAATGAAGTACCTCCAGTTTTATTTGTGCTCCCACCTTAAAAGAGCTCTATGAATCCAAATGGAACTGGGAACAGAAATTTGCCTGTATGGGCCGATTCTTGTGGCATAATGAACATATGAAGCTGCCTTCTACTGAATCACCAAAGTCCACCAAAGTCAGTACTGTCTACTCAGACTGGCAGCAGCTCTCCAGGGTCTCAAGCAGAGGTCTTTCACATCACCTCCTACCTGGTCCTTTTAACTGGAAATGCCGGGGATTGAACCTGGGACCTTCTGCATGGCAAGCAGAGGCTCTACCACTGAACCACAGCCCCTTCAAATACTAATGCAGGAGGCTGATGGAAACACTTCCTATGAGATGGAAGTTCAACTCAGGATCCACCATGCATTAAATGGCAGCAGCAGCACAAGAGGAGAGGTGTGACTCCTCCCATGTTACCCCACTAACACAGGTCTGCAACCCATCTTAGATTCAACCAGCAGCAGCCTCGGCCTGAGAGGTAATGCCAGGTACCTGCAATTCCTGTCACATCCTCCCACATGCTGTTTATGTGCTGGTTTGGTGCCCAAAGCACCCACCTGAGTTGCTTGGGCAGTGAAGCTATGTTTTCTGAGCAACAGTAATGCTTTAAGGATCCCGCTAGACCTCCCAGCTGTAACACAGTCTATGAATTCCCACACTTCTTCCCTTCCTTCCAATGAAAAATGCCACTGCTTGTATATTGGGAGAGATGGGCAGTTAATACTGCACAGGATACCCCATTCTGAGGGCCACAAAATTAGGGGTAAATACATCATCACACCTTAATTTTTTAAAGGCACACTTCAGATCCTATCGCAGCCCACTAATTTGGGAATTACTGCTTTGTCATATTTCTAATTGAACTAGATCAATTATACCCTTGCACTAACTGAAGTTTTCCTTTGAAGTAAGAATCCTCATTTATAGGAAATGAGGCTCCAGATCCTTCCCATCATAAGCTGATTTGGTGACATTTGGCAAATGAACGGATGCAGATATTTAAATTTTTTAAATTTAAACCAGAAGTTACAGTCTCAACATGGAGCTATCGAGAAGAATCTTGTTCCTGAAGCACTGTAACATTTTTCCCCGTAAGAGGCATTATGGACTACAGTGGCATATCTTACCCCCCAATTTCATTTTCAGTTCTTCCAGCCTGAAAACACTGTCTATAATTAAGACTTAAGACTAAAGATAAGTATTAACTTGTGGGCTTTTTGTTGTAAAGCAAGTGCACCTTTTTAGAGTATAATCTTTCCTAATATTTCATTTGCATACCTTTTGAAAAGATGTCTGTTCCTTTCCATGCTGAAAAGAAATCTCAAGGCTCTAAAGGCATAACACTGGAGTGGAGGAAATGCATACATTAATGGTAATTCCATGCAAAAGGATTACTAACGGATTTCCATGCCTTTGGATTGAACAATCTGTGCCTAGCAGCATACTGAATAAGCATCCACTTGTAACCCAGGAGGCCTGAAAGCTTGATGTATTTTTAATGCGGTACTATGAAAACATTTTAATGCTAGAACTATTGATTGTAGTTCACGGGGGGGAAAAAATCAAGATATGCTGCCTCATGACAAGGCACTAAAACAGTTTGTTGCCATGCCCATGCATCTCTCTTCTCACAGCTCCTGTTGCACACAGAGGCTTAATAGAGCCTTCTCAGTTGGATCAGGGTCCCATTTGCCATGATGGCTGAATGCAGGCACTCTGATTGGTCATCGCCTTTCCACCCACTCACCCTGTAAACTGAGCCTCAAATCTTAAATCCCAGTTTAAAAGCCTGGCCTGCAGGGATTAACCAAGCCCCAGTTTCCCAAGTTTTCAGTCATGTTCCATGCACACAACGACAAAGGAAGAGGATGGAGGTGGGAGAAATGAGGGAAGTGTGCGAGCGTGATAGCAAGCACCATTCGTACATTATCACAATTTTTACAGCTTGTCATAATGTCTGATGGCAGTCAAACTGACTGTGAAGACAGCTGCTACCAGCTGTATTTCCCTTCACACATTTTAGTCACATGTAAGCAAGCCACACAAAAATGTCTGAGGATTAGCCCTCACAATCCATAAATCTAGATAATTTTCTTTTGTTTCTTATGCCCCTGGTTGCTCTATTAGATATATTTCTACATCAGAGAAGGCTATGGTTCTCAGAACTTTGTAAATGTCATCTGTGAGTTTCCTCCAAATTTCCACAAACAACTTGTGAAAGGTGTAACAAAAAACAACCTATCAGTAATCCTAGATCCCATAATTGTGAATCCGTCACTATATTACTTCCTCATCTTAGGAAAATGGCTATCTACTTAAAGCACTACTTGCAAGGTCTATTTTATTGAGCAAGGCATCATCTGTAAGCCCAACAATATAAACTATAGAATGCAGACGCTCTGAATGCCATATACAGGACTCTGGAAAAACAACCTCAGAGTTAAGTACCAGATTCAGAAACCATGACAAATAAGTCTGAACAACCTGTCGCAAAACATTTTAATTTTAAGCCTACAGCCTCTCCAATTTAAAAATATTTCTAGTGGAGCAACCATTAAATCCAAGGTCATCAGAAATAAGAGAAAACTTTAAAAGGGAAGATGCAAAGGCATCTTATATCAAAGCGACAGATAATACACCACCACGTATCACTTTTAAATGCTGCGGCAAGATGCTAATAAAGGGAAAAGATTACCTGCAATAAGTTTGCGGTTGGAACACTCCTTTGTTTGTTTGGTAAAATTAGCTTTGCTATTGTATAGACTCCATTTTCCTGAGAAGGAACACATTAAACAAGATAGATTGAGAGTGCAATCAAAAGGTAAACAATAACTTATTTACCATGAAGTTAATTGTCAAAGACGGAGGCTCTATGGCTGGGGGGGGGGCCTTCAGGATTGGGGCACAGATTACCAGCTCTTGCTGGAGTGCCACTGACACCGACACAATCCGTCAGGAGCTTGGGAGTGATTTGGAGATTTAAACCTGGGTCTTCCAGATCCTAGTCCAACGCTAACCACTACACCACACTAGCCCTCCCCACTAAAGGTACTGAGATGAAGACCTCTTACCTGAACGACCTGATGAGCATTTGTATCATTAAGAACCAATTCAGTAATGGCAGCACAACAAGCTAGAATAACAAATTACAAATATGAAATATCTGTTTGCATATAACCATTGTTTACCCAAATAATCAAGCCAGTCTTCTGAATTTTACATGAAATGTATCTAAAACTACTTCACACATTACATTTTTAGGTGGTACATGTAAAACGTTTTAAGTGAAGTGAAAGCCTGGAAATATAAAGCATGGATGTGACTGTTTATCATACAGGTACATTTGTTACAAAACTGCAATTGGCTGTAATTTGGTACTGTATGTACACACCGTAGCAGACCACTCTGTAGGAGCTCATAATGAAATACCAAAGAGGACAATCTGCGTGAATTTGCTATTTTAGATAAAGTACAATATGATTCATGCCGTTAACTGTTTAGCTGAATCTTTTTTAGACTTTCAAACAGTGTTGCTACAAAGTCATTCCTTGGCATTTGATAGGTTCAAAGACAAGCGGTAGCATGAGGTTTTACGTCTTCTGTTATTGCAACTAAATGAGAACTCTGCTTTCAAAGATTATTTAAAAGATAGTAAGCACTTCTACTTTAAAACTTGGGCAAAAGGGACAAGAGTACACAGAAAGACAAATCCTAGCATGGTACCTTAGTGGGTCACACAATTACATGTGTGATGCCAACTCTGAAGGTTCCATACTTACCATAATTTAGATTTTCAATCTAGCCTTATTGCTCATGACATAGTCTTATGTATAACACATCCTCAAGAATAACATACTGGATAAATGGTTCCCGTTTGCAAATCTCTTCTATATAGATTATTGCAAAACATCAGAGGGAACTGCATTATTGTATACCTGCTTGAAGAGAGAATGTATTTTCTTGCAACTCATGGGGGCTTAAATCTTCTGACAAGCGAAGCTGTTGGATTCTTCCTGCTGCATTTGCACTAGATAAACTCCCAATGGAAGAACGATCTGAAAATAGATTTCGCTCCCTGGAAAAGTGCAACCACAGTATAAATAATACTTAGGATATATCTATTAACCATCCTAGTGATTAGAGGCTATTTTCCTCTCCATTAAAAGAACATCAGTACTCTATATATCCTTAAGTACCACTCTGATAATCTGCGTGAATTTGCTATTTTAGATAAAGTACAATACGATTCATGGCATTAACAATTTAGCTGACTCTTTTTTAGACCTTCTAACAGTGTTGCTACAAATGTGTGGATTGTTAACACTAACATTCTTACAAGGAAAAAAAATACTTTGATTCTAGATAGGGAGCAGTGAACCCCAGAATGTAGAACAGAGCTGGGAACAAAGAAATGAAATGCAGCTGCCAATCCACTTTTTAAAAAAATGTGGTAGGCTACATTAAATTATACAATTGTATCATAAAAATGTGTTGAGAAAATTCTCATGAATTTATCATTATAAAGTAATATATTTTAACAGATAAATATATTTACATCAACAGCTATGTAAGATGAAAATTCATATATTTGTGCTTGAAAAGTATCAAATGTGGAGTTCCTTCTGTACATCAATATAAAATAAACACTTGAACTATGTAAATACCATAGATATATACAATCCACTGAAACCTTTGAAGATTTTAGGAATGATCTGTGTACTTCTAGGTATCTGCTATAAAGGGAAATGCACTATGCATCCACAAATTACTGGATGGAACTTTTCCATTTCCCCCTCCCACTACAGACAACTGAGCTCCCACCCGGAACAACATAGTAAGGAAGATGGAAGTCCACAGTGGGAGGGAAGAACTGGTAAAAATCACTGGCTTCCCTTCTAAAGACAGAAATGTCTCTTAGAGAGGCTCTGTGGCTCAGTGGTACAGCATCTGCTTCAAATGTAGAAGGTCCTAAATTCAATCCCCAGCATGTCCAGTTAAAAGCAATCAGGTGGTAGGTCTGCTTGCATGAAAAATACTCTCTCCGATAAAGGGAACAGGGAATCCATTTCCTATTTTTCAACATACTATTCTGTGGGTTTTGGTTAACTTTTTAGCAAGATGAGTGTTCAGAGAGCAAGGAAAGCAGCAGCCCAATGGCAACCCAGAGGACATTTTGTGTCCACTGCTTTCAGAAAATGAGATTCAGGTAGGGTTCACAAATCCCCCCGGGGGGCGGATTTCCCCCCGCTTTCAAGGCCCGATTCCCGTGGAATCGGGGCCCGGGGGAAACCCCACCCCCGTGTGCGCGCCACCCGGAAGTGACGTTGCACGCTGGGGATGGGGCCACACCATTTGAGGGGAAAACAAAGCGTTTTCCCCTCAAATGGCGTGGCCCCGACCCCAGCGTGCGATGTCACTTCCGGGTGACGCGCGCACACAATTTAGACGCCGGCCGGGAGCCCCCCGCTCCCGGCCAAAATCCATTTGGCAACCCTGGATTCAGGCATACCAAGGAGTGCACCTTCCCTCCTTCCCAGCCACACCTTTCCGGATTGGAACAAACCATAGTTCAATGTTACACGCATCAACCAACTATAGGTTATTTCTTGCCTACAAATAAGGATCCTAAAAAAATATAGGCTGCAATCTAAATGAGCTATTAACACGTGCACTGGCAACTGCATAATGCAATTAGGACTTTTTGTGCTGTTTTGCCACAGCAGAACTGAAAATGTTGAAAAAGCAGTCACAGCAGTGCTCTGCTTTTCCCATAAAAATCCATAAACTGACATTCATGGGATATTTGAAACTCTCAAAAATCTTTCAATAAAACCATGCAGTTAAAAGTCAAGGCTTTGCACCCTAATGGGAAACAATCTTCACATAAAGTTGAACAGATTGCTGTGAAAATCTGTGTTATTTTTCAAGGACATGATCACAACCCAAAGAAGAACATTCCTTATAAAATCAGAAACAGCATGTGGGTGGCCTGTTTACTAAGACCTCCCTCAAAAACTTACCCCTGTAAAATATGCAGGAGCTGTTTGATACCACCCCAAATACGGATTTCCACACTGGTCTCCGGGTCTTCGCAAACCTGGACCAGAATCCAAACAACACTCCACAGCAGCTTTAGGTGATCTGAATGGAGCAAAGTGAGCAGGATGGGAACACCTTCATACATTTTGACCTGCTCTTTGACTTGAGGTTCCACACATAGAAGGCGGAGCAACTCTGCCGTCAGCCTGGAAGGAGACAGCCCACAAATGATTATTGTGCATGCAATGAAAGCACAATTTGACGGTTAAATGGACATTTGAGTCCAGTGAGACCTTCAAGACCACGCAAGTTTTATTCATGTTATATGCTTTCATGTGCGAGCACACTTCGACAGCTTGCCTGTGCTTGCACATGAAAGCTTATACTGTGAATAAAACTTGGGTGGTCCTAAAGGTGCCACTGGACTCAAACTCTGTTCTGTTGCTTCAGACCAACACGGCTACCTCACCTGAATCTGACTGTTAAATGGTCATTGTATTTTATTTATTTATTTAAATTTCTACCCGCCCTCCCCACGAATGGGCTCAGGGCGGCTAACAAATGGGGCACCAAGTACCAATACATAAAACCAAGTAAAACACGATACAATTGAATAAATATCAAAATTTCATAATTTCATATTTATACACTGCAATGCTCAAAATGACACAGGAGACCTTTTTGGATTTAGTGACGGACGTGAAGCACTTCCTCTTGATTTTCTTTTTCATTCACTCGAACAGTTATCATAAATAATCTTTTCTCATAAAATGGAAATTATTTTAATGCTAAAATCAAGCCTACATTTTTTTTGGGAAACACTTACATTAGTAGCCACATTAAGAAGTCTGCAAAGCTTCCCTTCCCATTTATTTATAGTAGTCGACCAAAATACATGTCAATGCCCACTGACTTTCTTTCAACTAATATCAAACAAAGAGGTCTAAATTTAGGACTGGATATTTTTTTCTCGCAATACTAATGTAAGCAACAGCAATGGTAAGTGCCATAGAAACCAATTCCTTGATTGAGTTCGTTCCTTACAAGTTACACCATCCTTACATATAATACAGAATTATTCCCCCCCCCCCCCCCTCACATTTAGACTTAGGGCACTTTCAGGTATGTACTGATCAGGATTGCTTCAGGGTGGACTGTACTCCATCAGACGCTACAACTTTTAGTATGTGAATTCCAGTTTACTCAAACAATGCACATTGACTTAACATGCAATCAAAAAAGGTATTTCCACGAGGTATCCATGAAAGGGCTTTACAACCTCCTACCCCCAACACAAATGTAAGCTGAAGATGACCTCTAGCGAATTTAATGACCTACCTCTTAGAAAGCAAATCATATTCATGCAATATCACCAACAAGTTCTCAACGGCATTGAGCTCACTTATCCTCTCTCGGCATTTCAGGACTAAAAAAGAGAAATGTTACATATTAATTCTGAAAATTCATCAAACAACTATTTCCCAAAATACAAAGAAAACCCAAGACAGTTTTTAAGTGGCTGTTCTCTGCAGTATCGGAACTAATACTGTCACACCATGCCTTGGATTCTAAGGGTTTCTTGTGCAAGCAGAAGGCAATTTCCCTTGTTCAAGGGAGAGGTCTCCAATTTCCAGATTCACCACACCACCTGTAGCCCTCTCACACCACATCCCACTATTCCAAATAATTCTGTTATTCTCAGGAGCAGCTTATCAGAGGAAAAGGGGTTGCAACATGAACAAGGGGGCAGTAAATCCCACCTGTAGGAGCAGAATTTCATTTGGACTGCTTTGGATCTAATGGTACAGACAGATGAATATGGTTAGATACAGCCATCTTTTACACTCAATTGCACCTAAATCTCCTCCTCATAAAAGCCTGCATTCCGCTTGGCTTTTGTCCATGCAGGTCCCAATATCCTCAGCAAAAGGAGGCCCTCTCCTACCTTTTTAAGTGGAAAAAATTGATGAATCCAGTCACAATTTAAATGTTGCCATTCATGTTCGCTTCTTTCTTGGTTCTGGACATAACTCCAGTTACTGATTTTGACCTTTAAAGCCCTAATTGGTCTGGGACCAAAGAATCTGTTGGGCAACGTTCTCCCTATATGAACCCACCTACTAGCTGAGATCAGCATCACAGTCCATGTCAAAGACCAAGCAGGTATGTACCAGCTATGGAGTACAACCGCAGAACAGGTGCTTATTATGGAACACTTGCTCTAGCCATGTTTGTCTGGCACTGCCTTTATTGTCCTTTAAGTACATGGCAGGTCTGTCCCATTCTCCTGATTAGTTCTAGTCTTGGGCAGTGCTTTTATATTATGATAGTTGATTCTGTACAAGGTGGGGTTTTCTTCATTAATAGTGTTTCCTATAATTTTATTACTGGTATTTTAACAATTGACTCCTAGCTCATTAATTTGCTTTCCTGCTATTCTTGTTTGATGGCAATTTTGGTGGGAAATGTATGTAAAAATCTTTTAAAATATATACACACTTTTGTTTAAAGAGCAAGTGTCAAATGTTTAAAAAATTAAAGGAACACCAGTGAAAAAGCTGGCTAATACCAAGCCATAATCTTATACTTGTTCCTGAGATGGTAGGCTTGGCCTTTGTCAACTCTCTGGTGAAATGAGTTGCATAATTCTGGAGCAACTGCTCTTTACATGTCTTTAGCATTCAAACTCTATATCTATTATATTGTTAAGGGTAACGCTCAATCCCTCCTAATGCCCAGGCTTTTCAGGTTCAACTAGCTTTGTGCACTGTATTTGGAAGACTATAGGGACCCATTAAAAATTCAGGAGAACTGATGCAATGTGTACTTTTATTATATGGCAACCATTTCCAAGGAAGATACTGTGACAGACAGGAGACTGTCCAGTCCATAAAGGACATGGGTTTCAGCCACTCAGCTGAGCCTATGAGAGTGCTGTTCCAGCATCCAATCACCTTTCACAGCACGGACAGAATGTTGGAAGGAAATACAGCAGGAATTAGTTTGGGTCTGCCTCAGGGAGAATGCAGTGATGTTTTGAGTTTGCCTCAGCAAAAGAGCATACAGTTTGAAGGGTAGCTCTGCCTGGTAACATGGCAGGATGGTTTAACTCTACCTCTGAGAGAGGACAGAATACCAAGTTATGAGGCCTGCCTCTGGTGATGAGCAGACCTCGTACCATGTAATCTAACCCTTGGGAAAGGGCAGGCTGGGTGGGTGGAATCATATGTGTATGAAAGGACCCAACCTCATGGCTAGTCAGTGAAAGCCTGTTTCTACCTATAAGCATTAAAGGAATCCAAACCACACTCTGAAGCCATAACTATCTTAAACTTATGTGCTTCAGTCAGGTTTCTCCTTCATCAATCTGGAGACCTGTGCTGCTGATCTATACTTTAAAATCAACCTGTAAATAAATAAATCTTGTTACTTACATAGAACTCCTGCCTCAGTGAGCTTCATGTTGTGCTTGCTTGCCACAAAACTTACCTCACTGTGGCAAACCCAAAGCCTTTACACCTTCTACCTTAAGAACATCTTATAACTGAGGGGAAAGTTTACAGTTTAAAATAAACCTGGTTCCCCAAAATCATAAGAGGCTGTGTGGGTCCCCTCAGTTGGTAGAAAAGGCAGGAACGCACAGGAACGGAGTTCCGGCTGGCTCCCAAGTTGACCATGCCCAGCAGGAACTCATTAGCATAACAGGCCACACCCAATAGCAGAAACTCATTGGGATTGGCTACATTAGGGGTGTGGCCTAACACAGTTCCTGCTACAAAAGAAGCCCTAGGTTTTAACAGCAAACAAGGAAAACAGAATAAGAAGCAAAAGGTGGGTGTGGCTGGATGTCGACACTTCTGGTAACATGGGGGTGCAGCCTAATATGCACTGCGCTTCCCAGATGTTGGGGTGAGATCGCGCCCGGAAAATCCGCGGGACTCCTGTGCCTCTCCTGCGGCAACTTTGCCGTGTGACCGGGGCCGAAGAGGAAGAAGAGGAAGATACTGGATTTATACCCCGCCCTTCACTTGGATTCTCAGAGCTGTTTATAATCTCCTTTCCCTTCCCCTCCCCACAACAGACACCCTGGGAGGTAGGTGGGGCTGAGAGAGCTTTTCAAGGACTGCTCTTGAAACAGTTCTGAGAGAACTTGTGACTGACTCAGGGTCACACCAGCAGCTGCATGTGGAGTGGGGAATCAAACCTGGTACTCCCAGATTAGAGTATGCGCTCTTAACCACTACACCAAACTGGCTGGAGCCCACTTCTGGGTAGGGCCTGTCCATATAAGGGTCTGCTCATATAAGGGCATAGAAAGCCTATGAAAGCCTTCAGAACTCACTCTGGGAGGTCAGTCGAGTTGGGCCACCCAAATGACTGAGCCCCAAGAGTGAACTCCGTCAGGCCAGCCTGACCTGGAGGTGGGCTCCAAAGGCATTTAAATACCTTCGGAGCTCACTCGGGTCAAGCCACGGGCCGGTGGTGGGCTCTGACAGCATTTAAATGCTTCAGAGCTCACTTCCAAATCCTTCCACGAACCTCCATGAAAACATGGAGGTTTGTGGGTGGGTTCATGGGACGAAATGGTCTCCCAAACCCCTGGTTTGTGCTTCACAAACCAGCCTGGATTGTGCTGAACTGGGGTTCGTAAATCTGTTCATGCCCATCCCTACTCACCTGTAATCATATCATTAAATTCCTTTTAGGCACATGTGACATTTACCCACATTTTACACAGCAGGTACTATAGAAAGGAATAGAGGGAAATAGGAAAGTAAAGGTGCAGCCCTCCTTTTTTCTTCAAGGTAAAAATCTAGCCACAATCTTTAGTGTTTCCACAATTTGGACAGTAAAGCTCGATTACCAGTATTTGTCTCCTTATACAAATTTTCCTGTAGCCACATTAAAACATTAGAGACAAAGCAAAGCATATCAGATTGAAGATACCTTTCTGCCAAGCTAGTGAGAGCCAGCAGTGCACCCAGCAGTACATTGTTGTCTCTGGTTCCAAGTAAATTTACTAAAGTCTGGGGGGGAAAGCAGAAAGATTAAGGGTGAACAAAATTATCTGTTTGGTGATTAAAGAACACACACATCTGCTTCAAGTATGTGAAACACAGCACTCTTTCAGGCTTCATCATATCAATAAGGGTTCTAAACTGTGACCACAGCCAGCCTTGGTATTTTCAAAAGTAACTGCAAATAATGTTGCTCTGTTTTATTTACCTGCCACATATTAAATGAAGCAAGCACATATCTACTATAAAGGTAGATCATGCTGAAGCAGTTCTTATTACAGAGAGAGAGAGAGAGAGAGAGAGAGAGAGAGAGAGAGAGAGAGAGAGAGAGAGCGAGCGCACAATGGAATCAATTTAGACCAGTTCTCACCCAGTAACAGAGTGGGAGCCTTCTTAGTTTCTTCTCCCACCTTAGTTTCTTCATAGTCCCACACTGGGACTATGTGACTATAAGAACCATGTAGCTAGGCAGGCGGCCAACCAAGTTTCCTCCCAGACGAACATTCAGGTGGGAGGGAGCTAGTCAGTTGGCTCCACCTCTGTGGTTACATACAAGAGCATGATCCATAATGCTGTTCAATAGGTGACCAACCAAATGACACAGGCTGGTTTGCCGTCTGAATCTGCTCTGCATCGAAACACATAATGCAGACCTCAACAGAATTTACCTCGTGTCTTGAGGCATTCTCCCTTCCCCAAACTCTTTTTATACATTTAAAAAAATGTTTTTGTAACAGCCATCCTGAAGAAGAGTTCTAACGAACCTGCAAGTTTACACACTCTTATGTGTCATGGAGTTGGTCCTAATAAAAGATATCACATGAATGGGGTTTTTGAATTTTACTGTTAGATCGACACAACTGTCAAACAACTTTTTTTTTTACTATATGCAAACCAGCTTGGACAGCATTAGAGGTTGCAGGCCCTCCATGCCTCTGACGAGTAAGTGGGAACTAGTTCCAGAGCCTCCACATGCTCAGTCAGAAACTGAGCATGTGATGACTCCATAGCAAGACTATCAGCACAATCCTTTGCAAAGTTACTCCATTCTCAGCCCAATTGAAATAATGGTCTAAGACTGGTATATCTTCTGCATATGATCGCACTGTATTTTTCAAGGAAAATGCACTATTCCAAAGCACCATTCATCACCTGTTATATGTGAAGGCCATACCAGTACTCTGGAGGGACTAAATTGCTGCGGCGTCATGAAATGGTATCCAGTTTGTACATAGGGTCAGTGCAAACAATCAAACTATGTTGCTTTATTGACTGCATTAAACATTAACAGTTGCAACACAGGCATATTTTAAATTGATCCATATCACTCTATCTAGCACATTTTTATTCTGCCCTTCTTCCAAGGAGTTCAGGGTGGCATATATGGCTCTTCTCCCTTCCCTCTTTTATCCTCACAACAACCCCTCAAGGGGTCCAAGGTCACCTAGGGAACTTCATAGCATTATGAGGATTTGAACCCAGGGTGGTTGTCTTATGCTGTTTGTCTGCACTGTTTTGTATCCTGTAATCCACCTTGAGTCTCAGCAAGAAAGGCAGACTAAAAGCAAAGAAAAATAAAACAGAATAAACAGTACACTCTCAAGCCTAGGGCATAACTCAAGTCAAATAATGGTGCTTGATGTCCCCTTACTGTCAATGTCCTTGTATTGAGTTCTTTCCTACCGAAACAATGGGACTCAGAAGTACTTAACTTTGGTTGGATCAACGACACAGGAACTTCTGAACTACACAGAGGAAGCTGCCCAGACATGAACTGCAGGGTTGCAGATGCACTCTCTCTCTCTCCCCACCCACCCACCCAGGAGATGCAAGAAGCACAGGTGTTGGTTTCATACTAAGGCAGCTTGAAACAGCACAGAGAATAACAGCAAGTGGCTAAGTATGAGTTGCCTCCAGGCAACAAAACATGAGAAACTGGAGGAAAGCTGCTGCTGCCTGTAAATTTATTCGAATACACCAGAGGCAATGGGAGGGAATGAACAACACATTGATATTTAGCTGGAGCCGCAAGCTCTGTTACAACATGCAAACTTCACATGTGATACTCTGGTTGAATAAATAAATAAGATGAACACATCATTTACTGCTTCAAAGGGTCATACAAAAATACACTACCGTAAGTCAAGCTACCAATTAATGGAGCAATCACTTATACATATTACAAGAGCTGGTCAGTTAACCAATGACAATGGACTTACTTTATGTGCTCCACTGGCTATAACCCACTCTCTTTGTTCTTTAACAGCAGATAGTTTTTGGAAAATATCTGTGGAGGCAAGAAAATGGAATAAACCACTCAGTTTTCATAAAAGCTTTTTTTTAAAGTAAGAGCAGAAATCCAAAAGAGCAACTTGTGCTCTGTTTAGTAGATTTTATGACGAGATGAAAACTTCCCCCCCCACAAAATATGTGAAGACAGGAGGACTCACAAATGTAGCAAAACGAGCAGAGTGATTCTTTGCTTTTTAATCTGCGGATGCTCTGTTGCATCCTGTAGTGCAATGACTGCATCACATCACAACTCAGGAACATTTTGACAACCATGTCAAGAGTTTTTATGTATATTTCAACTGTTAGTCACAGATAAAGAGAGTGTATGTATTAATCAGAACTCACACGTCAAGTTGACCAGTTTGTCTACATTGTGCTGTTCTTCTCCATATCCAAGATAGTCATTGGCTACTGTTTCCATATACTGTAGAGTGAGAAAACAAGGGAATGCTAAAGCAGATCTAAATTCAAAAGAACATACATGTTTGTGACCAGCAGAGGGCACACTAACGTCACGTCCCGCCACAGACTTAACCAAACAAAAATTATGAAAACACATAATAGTTATCACAAAGGATGTGTTCATAGGCTCCAAACACGTACAATTCAGTTTAATGCTGCCCCGTTATGAACATACAGGTCAGGAATATTTATCTACTGGAGTCATTTCTATCCAAAAAAGTTAGACAATACTCTTTAGGAAGAGGTGAGACGGAAGTTAAGAGAAAAAACTACACGATACTCCATCTCGTTTCCATCACAGGTCTACATAATATTAAGAATCATTCACCTTTCATCAGCTACTGAACAACAGCACTTCAGATTAGATTATTAGTTTCCTCTTACCTGATCTATACTAGTTGTATTATAAGAACATAAAAAGAGCCCTCCTGGATCAGACCAGAGGTCCATCTCATCCAACACTGTGTTTCACACAATGGCCAATGAGTTGCCCTAAACAGCCTGCAAAGAGGTCACGCAGACAGAGGCCCTTCCCTGATGTTGCCTCCTAGCACCGGTTTCAGCACTGGGGGTATATACTGTAAGGACGTAAGCTAGGTGTGTCAAGCCCATAGCCAGGATTTTTTTTCATCAGGGGCATTTAAGTGAATTAAATTAATTAATCCAGAATAACCCCAGTTCCCTCCTCACAATCAATGGAGGTCCATGCAGGCAGTCATCACCTTGGGAAGGTCATGAACCGAGCTGGCGGCCAGTTCTCTACCAGCTCTCTACCTGCTAGGGCAGCGAGCAAGCAGGCTTGACAAGCAGTCTGCTGGAGGTCCATGCGGGCAGTCATCACCCTGGGAAGGTCATGAACCAAGCGGGTGGCCAGTTCTCTACCAGCTCTCTATCTGCTAGGGCAGCGAGCAAGCAGGCTGACAAGCAGTCTGCTGGAGGTCCATGCGGGCAGTCATCGCCCTGGGAAGGTAACGAACAGAGCGGGCGGCCAGTTCTCTCTGTGCTAGGCTGGCGAGTGAGTGGGCAGGCGAGGAGTCTGCTGTGCTGCCATTTCATGAGTTTTCCCCTGGCACAGGCACACTGAAGAGAGGCCTGGCACAGGAGCAGTGGAGAGGGGCAGCACAGCAGCCTCCTCACCTGCCCACCACCCTAGCAGGTAGAGAGCCGGTAAAGAACCGGCCTCTCGCTCCGTTTGTTACCTTCCCGGGGTGATGACTGCCCGCATGGACCTCCAGCGATTGTGAGGAGGAAACTGGGGTTATTCTGCCTGCATGCTGCCCTGGCACTCGGCCGGCACATAGAGACCTGGCTGCTTGATCACCAGCCGGCACGGCTTAATATTCTTGCATGGCTTTGTGTGGGGTGTGGGTTATAATTAAGGCGGCAGGGCATCAAAATGCCCCACCAGAACTCCAGAGGTGTGTGAAGCATGTAAAACTGTATGACACACTCAAGTACCACTGAAACAAAATAAGGCAACTGCCCTTGGTTTTAGTATCATTTAAGCATCTGAATTTTCTTGTTTGGTCCAGCAGAAGTCAAACAGCAAGTACGTGCCAGATGGCCCTGCCCTGCAAATCTGCATTCTCATCCCATCCATCACCAAAGCAGATGCCCTTTTCTCTGAAGCAAGCCACTTGGAGTTTAATCAAATTACAAGGGCAGTCACCGTTGCAATCCAGTTCACCTACAACTGTCATTGTTTTATATCCCCTTGGAAACATCACATGCTGACATAGGATCATATAGCCTTCTCTTTACGACAAAAAAAAAAATAGTATGTTTTACAGTAACTTCAGTTCTTGGCTTTACAAATCTAAGTTAATGTGCAACAAAAGACTCGTTGTAAGACAGAGCATTTTACCTGTGCTAAATGTTCAATCCCACCCAGATTGTGGAGTGTTTCCTATACAAAGTAAAACAAAACAAAATTAAGTACACCATACTTCCGAAAAACTGTGAGTGCCCTCTCACCTTCAAGTTGCACTCCAGTCTAGGTTCACTAACCTTGTAAAGGTCTAGCTATTTTAAGTTAACAAACAGATCAAGCCCAATCATAACCATATTTATTTCAAAGCCTTGCTGAGCTCAGTGTGACTCACTTGGTAGAAAGCATGCATGTCTTCCACTAGCAGTCTCACCCCAGCCACACCTAGCAATCCAGTAACAAAGACATTACTACCCACTATGTGCCAATCTTTCTCTACTGACTGTTGCACATTGTGTAGTCATAATGTTGGTCATAATGCTGATTCAGCATTGGAAATGAAGTTCAAACATTTCCAGATGGGTCCAATGGGTGAGAAATATACTTCCTTAACCCAACTTTATTTCAGGTCTCTGTGGAGACCAATTTCCCTTGCTAGTGCTACTTAAAGGTTAAATGCAACAGTGGGTAAGGGGAGACAGCGGACTGGAACTGGGGAAAGAAGTTTGTATTATTTTCTCCATACCACTTTCCAAATCCAGTGCTGCCATCCTAAGCACAGCCACACATGTCTAACTGACTTCAACAGACACAGAAGTGTTTAACTCTGCTTCAGACTGCATTACAAATTTTATTCCTCCAAACTACTGTTTGCTTCATGGGGAAAAAGCAAAAGCACAACATGAATATGTTTTCCTCCATGGGGCAAATAGCACCTTTGAGGGGAAGACAATATACAATAGGAAAACAAGGCAGGTGAAAGAGTTAAAAAAAACCCTAGAGCAACATGGTCAAGATCCATTTTGCCATCCCCTCAGGGGACTTTAACAATGGGGATGGGGGGTGGGAAACTGAACAACAGCAATGAGTGGTAGATCAGCAGGCTTGGGAGAACTCATCTTTTCCGTATGACAAAGTGCCACACCGGAAGTAATGTTCTTTGCTCACAGACAGATGTTTTCAAATTATCTGGTGTACACCTCAACTTGGAAATATTCTGTGGGAATTAGTCACCATGGAATTTGTTGGAAACTGCCCCCAGGATCCTGTTTACAGATAAACTGCAGTGCTTCACGTAATGTTTCACATGGAGATATGACAGGCTTGGGGGGTGGTGGTGGTTAAGCATTACTTTGAAACATCTCTGAGGTCTGCTGTGCAGACTTCTTCCACTAAAAGAGAAACAAATGGCCATTTATGGTACTATAAGAAAACATATGGAAAGACTATATGAGTCACCAGAAAACCAGAGTAAATTTCTATGCTTTTACAGCTGTTCTGTGCTAAAATGTTTGGAATGTAACTACCCAAACTGCACAGCAGCACTGGATTTTGCAAATGACACGTGTCAAATTGCTAGTTTAGCATCAACTGCTAAACTTCTCAAGTCTTAGTATTCAGTGAGTGACAGATTGGAAATACTAGTATGTTACGCTCAGATCTTATGGTACAAGGGGGGAAATCCATAAGCAAACCAACCTGAAAGGACGGATCTCTCATTAATAATCTTACACATATTAAAACTCTCAGAAAATGGATAGATGAAGCTCGGTTAGCCCATTCCCTGTAACAAAGAGACAGAAGAAATCAGTTCTCAGCGCCATGCAGATTAATTTCAATTGAGCACCTTCATCTGTCAAACATCAGTTTGAAATTCTTTTTTAAAAGTTTCAGAACTCAAGAAAGATGCTAGAAAGCTTTTTTTATTAATTAGATGCACAATTAACTACTTACATAACATAAATAAATAAAATTATGTAATAATGTAAATAAATTAAATCCAAATGATTTTATATTGATATCAAGGAAGCACGTATACACATACACACTGTTTATATTTTTACCTCTCTCATTCCCCCTAGAAATAGATATGGTTGATTAGCATTACAGTTTGGCTCCATCCTGGGAATCCAGCCAATGGCTAAAAATAACATGGTAAAAATAAAGGCTGTTCTGTAACAGATACAAGTAAGCTCCCAAGAACAGTTATTTGGAACCATCTCTTGGGACCAAAAGCCAATCAGGACCCAATGGCTCTTTTCCAGATTCCCACCACAGTTGTCTGTTTCCCAGTGACGACACTTGGTTCCTGCATGGATTGATCTCAGATCACCTAGTCAAGGAGACTCATGGTGCAACCCTTAGAATACTTTCTTGGGAGGAAGCCTGAGCAGGATTTTAAGTAGACCTGCTTTGGATGACACTGTGATTTAACTACAAAACAAATACCACTCACTTTGCTCTAAACCATAATCTAATACCCACATCATGTCCTCAGAGATTGAAGAAAGGTACCCAATATTGCATTCTAAAAGAGGGAAAGTTTTTTAAAAATCAGAAACTCATGCTTAATTTATCAGCCATTTTTTGAAGGGAATATGATCACTATCTGGGTTTGATGTTTTTAGCCTTCAAGTAACATTATGGGCATAGGTAAAGGTAAAGGTTCCCTTGCTCAAAAGCCAGTCGAATCCGACTCTAGGGTTGCGGTGCTCATCTCCGTTTCAAAGCCAAAGAGCCAGCGCTGTCCGAAGACGTTTCCGTGGTCATGTGGCCGGCATGACTAAACACCAAGGTGCACGGAACGCTGTTACCTTCCCACCGAAGTGGTACCTATTTATCTACTTGCAATTTCTTGCTTTCGAACTGCTAGGTTGGCAGGAGCTGGAACTAGAGACAGGAGCTCACCCCGTCTTGCGGCACCCGGGTCTTGAACTGCTGAACTACTGACCTTCTACAGCCTGCAGTTCAGCCTCTTAACCACTTGAGCCACCGCAGCTCATTATGGGCATAGTACTGATCAAATCTTTTGGGGGATATTGATAATGATTAGAACAGTGCTATAGCTCATAGTTCCGTATGAGTTAAAGGATGGTATCTTCTGGAGAAAGAAGGCGGATCCTAGTACCAAGGAAGACTTTTCACTTGGATCAAGAACATAATAATAAATATAATGTGCAACCTACTGTATGATATTTATTTATAACTTAAAAGTCAAACTTTTGTCCCATGGTTCTTTCTTAACATAGCAAAGCAACCATTAATTCAAGGGCCAGGATCCAAAAAGCAATATGTAGTACAATCCTAAGCAACAAGATTTTTTCCCCATGTAAATGTGCACGTGCAAGATTACAGCCTTAGATTCAGTAGGGAACTTGAAGTGGCGCAGTGAAAATCTGAGCTTTGTGTCCATGTGTCTATGAGGCACTGGGAGAAGAATTACTGCTCAAATAACAAAATTTTCACAGTGCTTTAGATGCTGCCACATGATAAATGACTACTGAATTCCATTTTAAGAAATTATAAATATAAGCTTTAATATGTTCATATTAAATTTAGATTCCATTTAAAGACTTTTAAAAACTTGCTACAGGTGTGGCTAGGGGATAATATCTGCAATTTCATGAATGGTTAGGGGAGTATGTTTACATTTAGACAACATTGCTGGTGACTTGCTATGTGTCAGCATCCAGCATCTGGGTAAACCTGAGGCATCCGAGTGGTGTATGGGGCTTGGATATATAACAGTAGAAGGGATACTGCTCTTGTGGGATGGGTGATACGATATGAAGGTGCTCAGCATTTGTACAATTCCTGGCCCATACTCAGAGCTATGGATGAAAAGGCTCTCATCTCCTCAATTTTAATCCTGATGCTGTGCATCCCAATGTCAATGAATAATAAAATCATTGATTCACAATGTCATTGTGGATATTAAGCTTGCCTGAGTGACCAAATCATGATTCAGTAACTGTCAGTGTTGCTTTATTTCAAATTACCCCAGCTCATTATACATCAACCCAGAACTGGAGGAAGGGGTATCACTGTTCTTCTTCCGTAAACTCCTGATACAAACAACAGCCAACTTGTGCTGGTTAGGAGCAACATGCAAGGGCTTTACCACCTACTCAGCTTCCTGGCGAGTATCATGGCTGAATCTGAGAAAGCAGTCTCCGGTGTGGTACTGCAGACCACTAGACTGATAGTTCTGGAGGACCAATGTCCATATCGAGGCTGCTTTGATAGGCCAATCTGAGGACTTCAAGGAAACCAGTGACCCACAATGTACTGGACCCAACACATTAAAAGGTCATATGCTAGTTTTTTAGTTTTTTGTTCCTGGGGGGGGGGGGAGAGAATCCAATTTGGAAGGTCCATCCCCAGAGACTAACAGATCCAATCAGTTTTTAGAATGCTCTGGGGGATTCTGGGAGTCTTGATGGTAACTCTGCTGAAGGCCTTGTTGCAGCATGGAATTATACTTTCCAAAGTGCAAACAGACAAGATTTCCCCTCTTCCCCTTCCAGGGGACTACCTGCTCCTTGGATGACGAGGGAAATAGGGAACCTGGAAAGAAAGAAGATGGCTGAAGTGTTACTGGTGTTATCAGATAGAGCATACCATAGACCCCATATGAAGGCTTACAAAAGGGTACTGATGGTAGCAAAGAAGGGTGTTGTTTTCTCTGCTACTGTTGCATCAACTGAATCTTATCCAGCACAACTGTTTAACGTGGCTCATGGTCTGTTAATGCATAGATCCAAACCCCTCAAGAGTTTCATTTGGAAATTAGCTGTGATGACTCGGCTGGATTCTGTGTTGCTAAAGTTTCTTATCTGGTCCAAACGGAAAGACAGTTTAAAGGTGAATCTTATGCTACCAAATCAGAAGCATCTGCTTGTCATCGTTTTATGACTGTTTCAGGTCGATCTCCTTGACTGCAGTAGACAAGTCCTCTTCCTGAAAACTGGATCCTTGCTCTTCTTGCTAAGTTAGATGGTACCAGGGGAAGGAGTACTTCTAGACAAAACAGAACACCTTGGGCCGAGGGCAGGATCCCTTTCCTCATTATTTGTCATTATTTATTCTCTCAAAAAGTGATGATTAGGCGTTGTGTGTCAACCGTGTCTTTCTGTTCTCTCCCTAGGACATACCGGTCAGTCTTTACTCAAAAGTACAAACCGTTAAAACTTTACCTCGTTTATATCCCACCTTTCTCCCAAATGAGGACCCAAAGCGGCTTACGTCATTCTCCTCTCCTCCATTTTATCCCCAGAACAACCCTGTGAGATCATTTCAGATGAGCGCGTGTGACTGGCCCAATGTCCCCCAGCAAGCTTCCATGGAAGAGGAGGGATCTGAACATGGGCCTCCCGTGTCCTAGTCTGACGCTCTAACCAGTATACCACACTTTGACATTAAACCTGCCAGTATTCACAAACCAGTAAGGGAACGTTTCAGTTTCCCAGGATACATTATTGCTGATCTAATAGGTGCCACGTTCCAACAAAAGAAGTTCAGCATGAAACTCCTGAATTAGAATTCATCAAGAAGTTTGATACAATTTACCAAGGACTTAACAAGGACCTGGGCTTCCTCAGCCAATGCAGGCACTGATCAGCTTTGCAAATTATCACAAATTACTACTGTTGTGATTTTAAATCAAATTTGAATTTTAAATAATTACATCTGTTTATAACTTTTTTCTTTATAACATTAATACTGAAACACCTGCCTTGTGGGGACCTGTTGCGTGCCCACACAAGATTATGCTCAAAATGTGTTATCAGCCTCATTGAGCTACGTTTGACGATCATATTAATCATACCACTACCAAAGGATAAAGCCATTAAAAACAGGCAAAGGTAAAGGTTTCCCTCGCTTGAAAGCCAGTCAAATCCAACTCTAGGGGGCAGTGCTCATCACCGTTTCCAAGCCGAAGAGCCAGCGTTATCTGAAACCTTCTCCGTGGTCATGTGACAGGCATGACTAAACGCCGAAGTGCACGGAATGCTGTTACCTTCCCACCGAAGCAGTACCTATTTATCTCCTTGCAATTTCTTGCTTTCTAACTGCTAGGTTGGCAGGAGCTGGGGCCAGAGACGGGAGCTCACTCCGTCACACGGCACTATGGTCTCGAACTGCCGAGCTACCAATCTACCAGTGTGCAACTCAGCGTCTTAACCTCTGAGCCACCACAGCACCCCATTCAAGATATAATACCCCAAAGAAAACAATTTTTTGTAGTTTCCCTGGAAGTAGCTCTCCTCCTGCTGGAAACTAGACCCATTTTATTGCTTTTGTGCTGCCTGACAACACTGGCTTCCTAAAGACCTCCTCCCCACCAAAACAGGTCACCTCAATGATGCACTTTGAAAATTCCACCTCTTGGCCAAATTATATGTACACGACAAATATCTGTGATATGATATGACAATTTTGATGTCACCCACATTCAAAGCCAAAAAATGTAATGCACTGGTATGACAAGAACTGCCCCTTTACAGTAGTGTAAAAGTTAGGTGCTGTCATCAAGTACCTATGAATAGTAACTGCTAACAAGTTAGTATTTCAGCTCCAGATGCAGCAGAGACAAGAAGTGTCCTTCAAAGTAGAAAGCATAACATCAACAAAAGAGGAATTTTATTCTAAATGACAATGTGTACAAATACCTTGGAGGGGACCAGCTCAGAAGATGATCACAAAGCTACAACCTTTCCACATCTAGATAGGCCCAGCTTTCTCCCCTCAGTTTTAGACTAAGACTCATATAGAAGAATTGCAAGATATTAATTTTTGACCAGGGTAGTCCAGCTGCAAACCTCTGTCATGTAGGTCTATGAAGCTAAAGAGCACTATCAGTATTTAGACTTAACGTCTGCCATTCTGTAACAGCAGCACCCTATAGGTCCATGACTACAATTGAGTTGCTCAACCTAAGTATCTCCAATTCTGCTGGACGTTTATCTACCATTCTCTAAAGCCCATGTTTCATACCTGCAAATAAGCCGGTTTTTAACCAAGGCTGCGAAGATATCCTGAAACAACTTGTGCTGAGGATGCTTGCTAAAATTTCTCTCATTCTTGTAATTCATACTAAGGGAAGAAAGGCAAAGACAGTGTTGGAAAACAGCACAGACACTCCTAATCATAACACTTCATAAGGAAGTGCAGAAATGCAAGGCAGCAAATATACTTCACATTTCTGCTTAAATAACCTGGGACCAATCCATGCATCATGAACACAGAGATTATTAGGCTGCCAACAGTGTGATTCAGCATACCAAGGGTTAGATTTACATCAGGGAAAACTGGATATGAGCCCCTGGTCAACCGTGAACAGCCTAGGGAACTTTCTATTGCAGTGGCAGTCCTATGAAACCATGAAACTGCCTCTAAATCAGATCCTCGGTCCACCAAGGTCAATATTGTCTACTCAGACTGGCACTGGCTCTCCAGGGTCTCAAGGAGAGGTCTTTTATGTCATCAACCTTATCGTTTTAACTAGAAAGACTGATGAGTGAACCTGAGGCCTTCTGCATCCCATGCAGATGCTCTACCACTGAGCCAAGCAAGATAAAGATGCCCAAATAAATAATTTCCAAAATGCTGCCAGAGTAATTAGTAACAAAGTACTAAAAGTAAAAACATTAACAATTAGGATCAGTAGGTATAATGTCAGTGGTAGGACATAGGTTTGAAGAGGTAGATATCTCTTCCCTGAACACCTCAATACCCTCTGCTAACTTTAGTTCAGCCAAGAAAACAGCGTGAACAAACTGGAAATGTGCTCCCAGAATATGGCTCATAAACTTCTCTGCCCTTCTCCAAAAACAGCTACATCAAACTGTATAAGCCAGGTTGGTCTGTTCCCAAGCACAGGTGAAGGGAGGATACTTCTCCCAAGCCCACATATTCTCACTATCCAGCCCACCATTGATGCAAAGTGAGTAAAGCAATACTAACCCTGTTACTTCTTTATCCAGTAGGGCAGACTGGAAACCTGCCCTTCAGATATTGTGGGTGTATAACATGTACTGGCCAGGATGGGGACTGGTAGGGGGTGAGAGACTTTCTGTCCTTGTTGGAGAATAGGCCGGTTGAATGTGCTGCCTGAAGATGCTGGCTTCCTAGATAATCTCTCCCTATCAGAAAAGGTCACCCCAAAGATTCACTTTGGAAATGCCATTTCCTGGTCAAATTGTGTTGCACGGTGGAAATTCAGAATGACCAAAACACAGAAATTCTGTGTTTCCTTTGTATATAGGACAAGAAGAAGAAGGAGAAGAAGAAGAGATTGGATTTATACCCCGCCCTTCACTTGGAGTCTCAGAGCGGCTTACAATCTCCTTTCCCTCCCCCTCCCCACAACAGACACCCTGTGAGGTGGGTGGGGCTGAGAGAGCTCTGACAGAAACTGCTCTTTTTCAAGGACAGCTGTGCCAGAGCTTGTGACTGACCCAAGGTCACAGTTTAAAAAACAAGAACATGTAATCCACCTTCACTTTTACAGAAAAAGGCAGACTTAGGGTTGTCAAGTACTTACTGTGAATTGGTGGGGGACACATGGTTTCTGGCCAGAACATTCCTGTGTGTAACACACCCGCGCCCCACTATACTGTCGCCCAGATGTGGCGCCAGCATGCTGGGCACGTAGCTGGGCAACGCTCTGGCAATGGGGCTGAAAAATCGATGGAACCATCGAGTTTTCAGCCCCATTGCCAGAGCGCCGCCCGGCTACATGCCCAGTGTGCTGGCGTCTCGTCTGGGCAACAGCATAGTAGGGCGCAGGTGTTTTCCGTGTGGGAATGTTCCTGCCAAGAACTATGTGTCCCCCGCCGATTCACGGTAAGTACTTGGCAGCAGTGTTCCCTCTAAACTGAGTTGGTGTAAGCTAGCTCACAGTTTTTTAGCCTCCGGCTCACAGATTTTTGCCTTAGCTCAGGAAGGATGGCCTCAAAACAAACTAATTTATGCAGCAACCTAATGGCTCGCTCACAACTTTAATGTCCATAGCTCACAAAGTAGGATTTTTGCTCACAAAACTCCACAGCTTAGAGGGAACATTGCTTGGCAGCCCTAAGCAATCATTATTACTAATGAAGTAATAAAATAAAATAAATATTTATAGCTAGAATTCAAAGGTCTTTATTATTCTGCTCATATCTATAGCGAAGGAGGGAGGAAGATGAGACAAGACCTGAATCAAGTCCATATGCACACACGATAAAGCTTTCACACCGTACCTAAAGTTTTCAAGCTCAACAGCTTCAGTTGATTCTTGCCATTGACCTCTACATCTCTCTCCACAAGTGTTGCTGGGATATTGCTCAGACTTCGTCATGCTATTTTTAGCACTTTCAAAGTTAATGGCTGGCAGCTGCAAAGGCAAGGAAGATTAAACATATGTTAAATGGTATCATTAACCAGGCCAGAGTAACATAAGTAATTGTTATGGGTGTCTCAGATAACCTAAGACCAGGTAATGAAATTTTTTTAAAAATCCAGTGTATGCAGCAGCTTTGTAACCAACCTGGGAACTTCTCCACCTGCTTAAAGTGAAGTCCAGTAGCACTTTAGAGACCAACAAATATTTCAGTGCTTAGGCTTACGAGAGCCAAAGCTTCCTTCATTAGAGTCAAAGCACCCGCCCAATGCCTCTTCTCCATGGCTGTGCTCAGATATGTTCCATATGTGCAGGAGAAAAGGGCACAAAAGTGGACCGGGCATTCTCAAAATGGTGGCTGAGCACACAGAAGACAGGAAGAGCTGCTCTGCATTGTTGAGCCTTCTTGAGGGTAGTAGGAAAACCTATTTGCAGCATGTAGCTGAAAACACCACAAAAATCAGACCAGAATCTGAGAAATACAGTCCTCAGTTAAGTAGACTTTGTGACCTAGAAAGAAGGCATCCACTCAGTAAAGGTCTGGCACTTTTACAGCAGGCAAGTAACAAAGTGGGCTTAAAACCTGGACAATTATTCAAGAACACATATTTCACCTCTTGACTGAGTAAGAAAACAAGCCATAGTTGAAGTGGTGCCTGCAATTAGAAGAGGTTATCTGCATACAAGCACTTTTAAAAAACCATATTGGTATAAAGTGCCCAAAGAGGTTGTTTTTGGGTGCCCCCTTCTATTTTCCTTAAAGCAAAGGGCCAATCCTGCCACCAAGAGGCATTGCCTTTGGAGGTCTCCAACTAGATTCAGCTGATTCATCATCAGATGGTGCTTGGTTTGGTGGCTATGGGGTGAGAGAGATGGGGGGGGAGGCTCTGCCTTCTGGACTGAAGAACACCCAGTCCCCTCACTCTGGTCTCTCCTATGGGTTCTTTAAACCCCAACCACCCACAATAAAATAAAAAGGGGACACAAGCTTTTGAATTGGTAGCATGTAAGCTATGTGCCCCCTAAAGGCCTCTTATTTGGAAACCTGCTAGACCAAGGCTGTACTTGTATGTGAGGTAAACAAAGATCACTTTTCCTTGGATGTTTAATTCGACAGATAAGACAGATGGAGATAAACACCAACAATCTATTTAATGAAGTATTTAACAAGGTAAATATTATGTGTGGATGACTTCATCAATATATATACCGTAGTAAAACTGGCTCTCAAGTAAAGTAAAAAAAACTCTGAAAGGAGATTTGATTCCATCCTTCCAATAAGGTTACCTCAGCAGCATACAAAACCTGCTCTTTTTCCACCCCAAGCACCTTTCCACAGAACCTACATACACCAGTTAGGAATGAATGGGTCCTTAACAGGATGCTCATTTGCCACACTAAAGTAAGCTTTCTTTCCTAAACTGACTCCCAAGCCCAAACTAAAAGCCAAATAAAAACCTGGCTAAGCAGACACTCATTTACAGAGCCACGAAATCTCTACACAAAATAAATAAAGTTTTTCTCCCCCCCCCCCCCCCCCCCCAACCAATGAAGTTCCATGGGCTCTAATTGGTTGACAATCATTTGGATTTGCATGAAGCCAAAATCACAAGGATTGGTTCAGAGTCCCAGAGGAAAGGCAGAAATTTATGGATGATTGCCACACTAGGCTCAGTGTCTTCCAACATTTTGTGATTGCCCTCGTGGTGGCCATTTTATGATTGTTCCTGCCTCCTATGGCAAACATTTTGTGGTGGTGTCTATATCCCATTCACAAAATTCAAAAAATGCCAACAATATCAACAAATTTGGGGACACCATGAACTATATAGTCTTTCTTGCTCACTTTGTCAATTATTCCACTCAATAGTTGCTCCAAGAATGTTTATACATATTATAGAGCAGAGGCCGCCATAGGGATGTATTTAGAGGGCACAGAGTATTTCTGTGGCCAATGGATCAAGGTATTTTAACCAGTGATAGGACCCACCCTAACAATTCAGGACAAATCATTAGGTTTCTGATACAATCATTGGGTTGGAGTCAGACTAAACTCCCTTTTCCAGCAGCAGACCCCCCTCATGTAATTCCTCTGGGTCTCCTGTCCTTCTGAAGCAGCATTTTGTGGAGATCAATGGGCTGCAGTGGAAGGGGAAAGACAGGAAAGTTCCATTCTGCCATTAGAAAATTTAGTCTGGATCTAACTCATTGTGAGTAAAGTACCACATAAATCCCTTCAGCCGCTTTATACACACTCTGTCTCTTGCACTGTCTGCACACACAGAGACCCTGAACACAAACTATTATAATCTTACCTTGGCAGTTCCCTATTCCTAGCCTGACATATTTATGAATATACACCTTTTACACTTTACTGCAAAATATCATAATAAAACCTAACCCACTGAAAATAGGAAACAAACATAGAAGAGGATAAATTTATTAAGCTTTTAAATGGCCCTGACAGCACTCGGCAAAGACACTGACAATGCAGAACAAATTATTTTGAAAATACAACAAAACTGAGATTTACAACACATTTTTATGAATGCAAACTAACAGCTGTTAGAATACCTGTTGCTTGCTTGACTGGACATTGAGAAGTTCCAGAAGCCTTTTAAGATCAGTGTAATCCCTAGGAGAAAGCATAGGTCGTATATCTATTAATGGTCTATCATCAATATGTAATAGAAATTAAATTACACTGTTTCATCGGAAAGGAACCTTTCTGGTAATGCTTCAGCAGCTAACTCTCTTTCCCCCCTCTATTTGAACAACCCATTGTTTCAGTCAAAATGAAAAGGTCAGAATAAACCTGGTGACTAGAGTAACCATGGCTACATACACATAGCATTTCAGATTAAACCATTCAGTTTGGCAGTTGGTGTAAACTCCAACAAGCCACAGCTGACATTCAACATAAAGCATAGTACCTAGCCGTGATCCCCTGAGGTTTGGTATCTGCTGGCTTTTCTGTAGGTTTCACCTTCTTGTGTTGATCAGGCATTGTGCAACATCAAGGCATCAGGCTTAACACATCATACCTTTAAAGAGAAAATGTAAAGTGTATTGTTTTGTCAACAAGTGAAAGGATTGCACCAGCAGAAACCTTCAATAACTGAGAAAAACACAGGGAGTTCACCTAAGCCAGCCACTTACAAACTGTACAGCTGGGGGGGGGGGATCTCTGGATACCATTCAACTGAACCCCAGCAGTTGTATGGCACAGGGAAATGCTGATGGGGCTCAATACCTCTCGGCACCATTCTATGCAGGATGTTTTTCCTCAAAGTTGTTACATGGCTGAGATCAGCCTGTTTTAAGAGTGCTCCTTGATGAACCCACCCATCAACTGAAATATAATTTTAAAAAATTAAAGCAAAGTCCATATTCTGTCTTCAGTTAAAAGATCTCAGAGAGTAAACATGGAGACAATCCTTTCCCTTGAAAAGGAATTACTATTCAGTCTTCAAAATCTTTCAAGGTTATACACTTTATACCTTGATTCTAAAAACAAACAACATCTTGAGAAAAACATATCCAGGGGAAAACAAAGGGGAAAAAAGGGCTCCGAGATGTGAAAAATAGCAGACACTGTAATATACACCCAGCTGAACCAAGCACTTTGCACTCTCCACAGGATTTTTCAAGCAGGTTTGTTTGACCAACCCACATCCATACTGTACAACAAACTGCAATTCAAAAGCCCCTCAGTTTTATAAGTGGTTTACCACACAGCATACAAAACTGCTGTTCAGGAAACTTAAGATACACTTGCACACATCTGGCTGAGTCATGGCCACAGCAGCAGGCAACAGCAAAGTCTAGTTCCCTGTATTACTTATACAGCTGAGTAACCTGTTAGTCCACTCATTAATAATAACCAGACCAAAAGTTCATCCAAAAGAAATTTTAAATCCTTCAATAAAATTTTTAAAAGTACTGCGCTATACCTAACTTTAACTATATGCATCTGGGGGGAGGGAATCCTAAATTTAATATATACTGATGGCCATTACTATTTTATCAGACTATAACTTTGTAATTTTGACTTAAACAATTTGCCTATCTATTTGAACCTCTGACCTCCCTTGCCATCCAGTATATTTAACTGCTAATTCTGTTCGTTTATAACAGGACTCATACCTATCCTTTCTGCATCAACTTTTCCCTTTTCCCCTTAGACTGAGATTTATACTTGAAAGGCTCATAATGTAATTCATACTAACCCTAGACTCCCCCTACCCCATAAAAATTCCCCAGGACTGTTTTCCATCATAGATCTATGTGATAATGTGGGCTGCCTGTGACCCACATAAACTCATATTGAAATTAGTGTTGTTAGTCTTTAAGAAGACACTAGATTTTTATTTTATTTTGATATGTCAGGCTTACTTGGCTACCCTTTTGCAATCCAAGAGTTCTTGGGGCTGTAATGGATAGCATTACAATGTTCCCTCTAAGTTCCACAGTGCTGTGAGCAGAAATTCTATCTCGTGAGTAAAAAAAGCTAGTAGCATTAAAGTTGTGAGTTAGTCTATATTTGACTGTAAAGTAATTAGCTTTTTTTAGAAGATTACTTCCATAACCTTGTAAAAATCTCAGATAATTTTTTAAAAATTATATTTAAACTATATATTAAAAATAATTTAAACAGTATAAGAGAAAGCAGAATCAAGTCACATTTCACCCACCTGTCTCCACTATATTGGTAGACCAGGCCCCCGGAGGTCTACCCACCCCTCTCCACTATATTGGTAGACCTGACCTCCGGAAAACAGGTCTACCCACCTCTTTCCAATATATTGGCAGACCTGGCCTCCAGAGAACAGATCTACCCACCCCAGTCCACTATACTGGCAGACCTTGCCTCTAGAGAACAGGTCTACCCGCCACAGTCCACTATATTGGTAGACCTGGCCTCAGACCATTGGCCTGTGCTGAGCCTTAGAAAACACACCTGCAGTCTACCTTGGTATTTTTTTGTGAAATATGACAAGCGGCATTACGGGTCAAGTATAACAGAGAAGGAAAAATCACTGTCAGAACCCTGCCTAACCTAACAAACAGGAAGCTGTTTAAATGCTATCAACCAGCCCAAACTACTTATTTATTCAAATATTTATATCCCACTTTTCCCTGTGACTCAAAGCAGCTTACAAATCATACTGAAAAGCACAAAAGGGTTGTGCAAAAACTAAATCATTTTTTCCCATCTACATTGTAGCCTATAGGGAGCATTATAGTCAATGGGCCCCATAGGCTATAATGGAGAATCGATCTGCGGGTATCTGGGGCTGGGGGGGCTATTTTATTTTTTTACATAGAGGCACCAAATTTGCAGCATAACTGCTGGTCCCTCTTCTCAAAAATACTCCCAATGTTCAAAAAGATTGGACCATGGGGTCCAATTCTATGGGCCCCAGAAGGAGGTGCCCCCATCCTCCATGGTTTCCAACGGAGGGGGGAACTTTGTGTGCAGAAGTAGAAATCTCTGAGCTGGCATCTAAAAATATGTGCACCAGTGCTCCCTAGCACAGCTTAGAGGGAACTATGGTGTCAACTCACTGTGTAGCAGCAGTGAAAAAAGACAAGCTCTGTGCTGGAGATTAGGAAAGGGACTGAAAATAAAAGTCATGGGGTGGCCTCATTTTAAATAGTGTATACAGCTCTAGTGCCATGTCTCAAAAAAGAATATTGCAGAGCTGTAAAAAGTGCCAACAAAGGCAACCAACATAATCAAGGAGTTGAAACGCCTCTCCTATGGGAGAAGGTTAAAGCTTCTGGAGCTTTCCAGTTTAGAAAAAAGACCACAGCATGGGGGGAGGACATGAAAGAGGTTTACAAAATTATGCAATGACGTGGAGAAAGTTGATGCAGAGAATTTCTTTTCCCACTCCTGTAAGTTTATTTATTTAGATTTTTATGCTGTCTCTTCAGAAACCTGCTTGAGATAAAAAGTAAAAACAGTATAAACCCATCACAAACTAAACAAAACAAGTCATTAAAAACAAACCATGGACATTTTAAAAAGCACATAAATAGCCAAACATATGGACCAGACCAGAAGCAGACTGTAAACAGCTAAAGATAAAGTCCCTAGTTAAAACTGTGGGGGGGGAGAGACATGTTTTGGCCTGGTTCTTAAAAGACAGCTGGATGCCAGGCAAGCATCATGGAGTGGGCATGATACCAGAAATCAGGGACACCCAATGAAGTTGATGGGTAATGGATTCAGGATGGACTAAGAAAATACTTTTTTACTCATTTAAAAATTAAACTGCAAAATTCATGGCCAGTGGAGGTAATGACATTATGAAAGCTGTGATCATAGGAGACTAGACAGATTTGTCGAGGAGAGATCCATCAAATGGCTACTAGCCATGGTGAATAAAGGCAACCTCCATATTCAGAGGCAGCAAACCTCTGAATACCAGTACTAGGAGGCAGTGTTCCCTCTAAGCTGAGTTAGTGTGAGCTAGCTCACAGTTTTTTAGCCTCCAGCTCACACATTTTTGTCTTAGCTCAGGAAGGATGGCTCCAGAACAAACTAATTTGTGCAGTAGCCAAATCGCTCGCTCACAACTTTAATGCCAGTAGCTCACAAAGTAGAATTTTTGCTCACAAGACTCCACAGCTTAGAGGGAACATTGCCCAACATTGTGGAACACTTGGCCTCTGTGCCTTTGTTGGCCTTCCAGGGCAACTGGCTGGCAACTGTGTGAAACAGAATGCTGAACTATTTGAACCACTGCTCTGATGCCTGTAGGATCCTTCTTATGTTCTTATGGAAAGTCGTTCTAATGTGTCAGACCCCATGCACAGACATACACTTCAAAATAATGCTATACTGATCCAATTATACATGTTCTTCAAACAGGTAGAAATAGTGCCCTGGAAGTGGGGTGGGAAATGCAAAGATGCCAGAGACAGAATTTGCACCACCAGCAAAAGGAAGGAAAGAAACGGAGAACAGGTTTGGTAGTGAGATTACACTGAACAAGGTTGGTAAAAACTGAAAAAGCCCAAAATTCAAGAAAAAAAGTTATATGTGTGCAGATGTACAACACAGAGGTGGACTCGTTCATAATTTGCCTAACCCATAAGTCACAGCTTCTGACTTGAAGGGCATACAGCCCAAACCTATGAATGTTTACTCGACAGAGCGGAAATTTCACTCAACCAAGCGGGATTTACTTCTGAGTTTAATACTACTGGTTTAATACCAGAGTTTTGTTTCTTGGGGGTAGTTACACACTAGCGTTGTCGTGTTATTAGAAATGCAATACGTTAAATAAATATTCTGCACATGGTCAGGGACCGTATTGTTTTATCTTCCAAGGTGGCATCCTGTCGCTGAGAGGGTCAGGGAAAACCGGTTCTGGGGCTCAGCTCACAAGGGACTTTGGGCTTTCCTACCCCGTCACCAAAGACAGGATTCACCCTAGAGTGAAAAACAACAGGAACTGATACGTGATGCTCCAGATATGCATCAGCACCTTCTAAAAGCTCCCTCGTCACTCAACTTACTTCGGCCAGCAAAACGCAGGAGCGGGGCCACTTCTCATCAGTATCTTTCAGTTGCATCTCGAATTCCGGTAGCAATGTGACTCTTCGGTTTAGGGTCTCCCTCCCCACCCATCAAAGCGATCGTTCCCCTTCCCCCAATATCACCATAGAATGATCTAACGAGCTAACCAATGAAAACGCGCTTTACCCAAGATGTCCGTTGCATTGGCCAATCACTAGGCTCGTCCGTGGCAGGTGACGTCGCTCCAGGGAGACGGATAACGCCACTGCTGTCGCCATAGCGACGGAAAAGCCGCTCCTACCCGGACGCTGCAGTAGAAAAGACTCTCGCACTAAACGGGAGGTAGGCCGGAGAAAAAGCTATTGCGTCATCAGACACCCTAATTCCTGATTGGCTAATACCAGCCTTCCTCTGTAAAGAGCGGACGGAAAAGGTTACTTGACGGGGGCAGCTCCGGGAGGTGGGTGGGGCGTGGGAGGTTTCACGTCGTCTCCCATTGGCCAGCAGAAACGAACGCAAGAAGAATCCTGATTCAAGACGGAGCAATTTAATATCGTTTCTTAAAGGCACACGCCGTTACTTATTTCGTGCTCTTGAAATGGTTGTAAATATAATGAAACCATCGTAAAAAGTAACAAGAGTTAAAACAAGGTCGAGTCCGGTGGCACCTTTAAGACCAACGAAGTTTGTAAGCTTTCGTGTGCACGCACACTTCCACAGATAATTCTTTTTAAAATAATTTATTTAAGTTCTCCAAGTAACACACAGCTGTTAGCCTCGAGGCAGATAAGATTTCAGCAAGTCAAATGCCCCCACGTCCCCCTCCCCAAATGTGCAGAGGGACAAAAATGAAGGTGAAGGAGGACAAAGCAACAGAAGAATCTGGAATGCAAACTAATTGGAACGTCGATAGCTCAAAAACTCTAAGGCTTATACGGGATGCGCTGCCAGTGTAATGTGAAAGAATTGTAAAGATGGTGCCTTTGGACCTGCGTACTGTGTTTATGCCGAACACACAGCGTTTGTGGAGTGCCCTCCACCAATAATCCAAAACCCCGCCACTGTTGGTCCCAGGAGCCGTGAAGGGATCTAGAGATTAAACCTCTGCTTATTTTATGACAACTGCATACTGTTGCCCCTCCTTCAATAAACAGTACATCACATACACACAACCTTAATCTAACACTTAATCCCACCCTTCCACAGAGAGCACTATCCTCACAACTCTTGATTGTGCCTGGACTGTTTCAGTTTCAGGGTTAAGCAGGGATTTGAATGCTGGTCTCCAAGAGCCTAGTCCATCTGCAAGCTATTCTTGTAAATGTCTAATATATACTATTTGCATAGGAGTACAGAATGCCACAAGAGACACACAACATATTCACAAGACATTAGATTTTATAGCCAAAATAAAGCTGGCTAAAATAAAAAGGTCAGGTTTCATTTCAGGGGCTCTTTCAGTAGGAATATATATTTTCATATATATGAAAATAGAGTTCTTTCAACATACAAACTAAGAAAACATTTTCAACATTCAAAATACAAAACATAAAATACAACACAAACAACCAATTAGAAATCCACCATCATCTTTCAGTAGGGGTTCAGTTCTCTCACTAAAAAGAACCATTAGATCCAATACAGGGTAAACAAAATCTACTATTCCAGTAGGATGATGGCACGAGGACATCTAGGACTCCGCTCTCCCTCCATGAGCATGAAGACACAACATAGATGCTGGTGTAATGTGCCACTGGATTCTTGCACTCTGCTAAGTATGTTTAATCTTCTGTGGGTAGAAGTCTCTCTGCACTGGAGAAAGGCACTGCACTAAACTGAGTGAAGTGGTAGCATATAAACCAATGGTTCTAGAGTTAGAAAATGTTTTGAAACACAGTTGCCATTGACTTTAGACTGTCATTCCATTCATAACAATTCCACCTGAGGGACGTGTGTTGGGTTAATTTTTAAAAAAAGATGAATATTATTTCATTTAAGATCCAGAAACGAATACCCAAAAAATATACTAGTGATTACCCATAGTGGTTAACATTAAGGAAGAGGAAGGTTCAGCAATTGATTAAAAGTTTGAATAAGAGCTTACCTTCTATACTGCTAAATCTTCAGTCATTCCATGTGGCACAGCTGCAATACCTTGTCCCCCTCCAGTGAGAAAGTTCAGATCTTAAAAGCATTTCTACTTACATGCTTTTCTCTTATACTTAAGTGGTGGTAGAAATTTTTTGAGGATGAAAGGGGAGATGACAGTCTCTACGACCAGCTGTATTGCTTAGGCACTATTTGTTATATAATCAAGACCAGTGTCAGAAACTTATAGGTAGCCAGTTCATATTTTGAAGCCCACATAAAATACATTTCTGACACATTATATTAGGCATGTCAAGATGGCTGAAGTACAGAATTTAATGCAAGTGTACTGCTACCAGGACTTTGAACAGGAGCTTAGTTTCTTTGGAGCAGTGTCCAACATTTAAGTAATCTGGTGCAGCATTAAAATGTTGAGAATCTTATTGTTTATGTTTACGGAACATGTACATGTTTGATTCAAGAAAAGAACATGGTTTGATATAGTATCAGCAATTCAGATGTAATGCCATTCTGATCAATCACACATGTCTTAAAACGGGCATTGACCACAATTTTTGATCAAATGGGGGAATGCTTTCAGATCTATGTATAGCATTTTTCATTAATGTGTACTACATGTTAGTTCTTTCCCCTATAAAAGGCAGCATAAGCTGTTTGTGTGCTAAAATGAGATTTAAGGGCTTGTAGGTATATGAAATGTGATGCCTTTGTGTATAATCTCTTAGATTCCTTTTCTAGTAGGAAGGTTTAAGACTTGTCAGCAGCTTGTGTTTTAAAATATTCTGGCACTGAGTCCCTTTACTAGAGGCAAAACATTTAAGAAGAGTACTTTTTAAAAGGGGGGAATGAGGCAAGGGTTTTAAAAATTATTTTAAAGGGGTTCTAGGAACATGTCAGTTTGAATTATGTGTGGAGTTATTCTCCAAAGCTGAATATCTTTTGTTTTAAAAATGAATGTAGTGAGAGAAGGAAAATCAATACACTGAACACAACTTTTGCCAAGAACAACACTGAAGCTTTGGATTTGGGTCCCGTTTAGTTCAAGTTCTTTCTAATGCTGTGGCCTTATCTGAACAGGTGATTTTCCCTGTAAGACAAAATATGAATGAGTCCTCATGATGATGACACAGTGAAGTTGCCACACAATAGCCACCAATGAAGATGTACCTTGAGCTTACTGTTCAAAAAACTTTTTGTGACCACAGTGAAATTCTGGCCAACTGGCAACCCTAGACAAGGCCTATGTGGAAGGAGGAGGAAGAGACTGGATTTATACCCCACTCCTCACTACCCGAAGGAGTCTCAGAGCAGCCTATAATCCCTTTCCCTTCCCCTCCCCACAGCAGACACCATGTGATGAGAGAACAGTTCTGAAAGAATGTATGACTGACCCAAGGTCACACCAGCAGCTGCATGTGGAGGAGTGGGGAATCAAACCCAGTTCTCCCAGATTAGAGTCCACAGTCCTAATCACTACACCAAACTGGCTCTCCACCTTAGTGGTAGCACATCTGTTTGTCATACAAAATGTCCCAGGTTTAATCTCCACTCCAGCTTCTCCAATTAAAAAGGATCAAGTAGCAACTGGTGTGATAGACCTCTGCCCGAGACTCTGGGGAGATGCTGCCAGTCTGAGTAGACAATAATGACACTGACAGATGAACCATCTGATTCAGTATACGGCAGCTCCATCCGTTCATGAGTTGTACTTGATTCCCATTCATGAAGCATGAATCCCTACATTTTAAAATACGCCAATCCATATTTTATCCTAATGTGGGAATACTGGAGTATTTGGTAGAAAGTGTTGTCAAGTTGCGGCTGACTTACGTAGGAGTTTCAAAGTGAAAGACAAACAGAGATGGTTTGCCTTGCCTGCCTCTGCATAACTACTGTGGATTTCCTTGGTGATCTCCTATCCAAGTACTAACCAAGGCTGACCATGGTTAGCTTCTGAGATCCAAAAGGACTGGGCTAACGTGGGCCATCCAGGTCAGGATTCTGAAGTAAACAAACCCAATAAAGCAGAAAATCTATTTCCTACTATTTCTCATGCTTGTCCCTAAGGTACCATTCACATCCTTCCACTGAAATAAGAATGGGTTTGAACTAACCATCTTTTCTACCGGTGAAAATGGAAGGAAGAGCCTACCCTTTGACCACCTAAAAAGGCTGCACTGGATATCTTGGGGTCTTTCGCCATAGAGAAAAGCCATGTGGGATGGGAACTGTAGCAAGGAGAGGAATTTGCAAGACAGAATGAAACTGGCTGCTTTCCCTTATACAAAACAAATAAAATTTTTAAAAAATCTACACACACACACACACAAAACCAACAGGCAACAGATACAATAGGCATTGTCTTTTTTACAGTTTGCAAGCTACCAAATTTACCAAGTTAGAGAGTCTTCTATATAAACTGGAGGGGAGGGGTTGAACAGTAATTGAATTTCTTTAAAGTCAGTGTAAACATTTCAGAGTACTGTTCAGAGCAGGAAGTGTCATTTTTCTCCTATCCCAGCTTGTTTCAGTCAGTCCAATGCACAATGCAGAAAAAGAAAACAGGGAACTGGTCTTACTTTGGTCATCTTTCCTGATCTTTACAGAACTAACATGTGACTGGCAGAAGCCAAGAGATACAATGAAACTGCACATTTCACAGCACTTTGTAAAATACAGTTTTAGTGTTGCCTTCTTCAGACATCAGTAAATCTAAGATCCTGAGGTCTTTCATGCTGTAGCATTATCAAGAGATAGAACTCAAGGAGGAACTATGCATACAGGAGTAGGCTTAGCTGATCCTATTGAGTCCTATTGAGTTCTAGGAGACAGACTGCAATTGGCAAGATTATCAAGGGAGATAGAGAATCCAATCCCCCACCCCCAAATTTTATGACATCAAGGGAACGGTTAACCCATCTTAATGCTTTTGTGAACACACTTTTAATTACTTAAACGGTTGCCATTTCAATGTTTTAGTACTATTTTAGAAGGATCTTGGGCATGAAAATAGTACTTGTCTTTCTATCACAGCCTCTGTCCATTTTGCCCGCTTAAAACAATATACAATATACGAAAACAATATACATTCCTGGTCCCAAACATATGATTTCTATGCTGCAATGGCATGACAGTGTTATAGTTTGTAACTTGTCAAGTCAGCACACTGTAATTCAAGCCCTCAGTGGCTTCTTGAATAATTTGTACGGCAACTGCAAACACCTTCACCCTAAAAGCACATTAAGATCTACAGAGGTTTTTTGCCCCGAGCATCTTTCCAATTTATACCAGGTAATAGTAATCCTGCATAATGCACCACACAGCTGGAATAAAAGATTTAACAAACTGTTAAAGTCAGTGGCATTTTATTGCTTTTTTGTCAACTTTGTGAAACATTACAAAAAATAGTTTTTGCAACAGGCATTAAACAAATTGTAAAGGCTTGATTTTTCACATTAAATATCGGAGAAAAATTTGTAGGCATTATATAAATTAATAAAATATTGTTTTTACATTTGGAACAGTGTCAACTTGCTTTGGATTTTATTATAAAAGGAAATATATGTAATTAGAAAACTGTCATAAAAATTGGAATAAAGTGTATAATTACACCTCAAGTCCAAGTAAAGGTTTTTGTTCAGCTAGATGCTCTGAACACTGGAAGACACATTTACAAAACAAAGCATCAGTAACAAAAGGGGGAAAATATTACAAAGGATGTATCTCCTGACTAATAAACTGCATTATAAAAAACAGGCTATTAAATACATTACTCCAAGACTGCCAAATAGTGACAATATGTTCTAAATATGAAAACCTTTATTTTCACACCAAGTGTAACCCTTTCCTATACTTGACAAGTTTACTAAAAAGTTACGAAGTACAAAAAATGCGAAGTAGTAAAATCACAAGACATTTGTATTCAGAATACAAGTATAGATAAACACACAACTAGGTGCCTGTACATTCACTAAAATAAATGGTTGCTCACAACATCTGTACGGTATTAGGTAAAGGATGGCACCTACAGCAATAATTTTTAAAAACATTAAATTACTGACCAAACAGAACAAAAAGCAAAATACATTCAGTATGTTGGGCTAATGATCTAGAAATTCTGAACAGGTGACTTCAACACAATTAATTTACAAAATGTATGTACAATAACCCTTTTACACAATGCAGACCAGTGCATTTTTGCAATGCCTCACACCTATCTATGGACATTTTACATTTAGAACCTACCTTTACAAAGGGTACATTTTACAAGACTACTGTACATAGAGATAAATGCATTTGAAATGAGAATAAAAAGGAAATGTTCTGCTGGATGCTACAAGCAATGGAAATGCTTAGCAAAAAATCTTGCCACACTACTTTGCACATTTCATGTCACCTTGAGCACCTGGAATAACACCTGAAACAAAATTTGCAATATATATGAGCTGCAAATTAAAGGATAATGAGAAACTTGTTCATGTCTAGAACACAATTCTCATTGTCTCCATATAAATCAAACATACTTGGTTAGATCCAGGGTTTCTGTTTCTCTAAAGGTGCTATCTTCCTCCAGTACAAGGAGCCTTCCTCTGGTAGAATGTGTCTTTTCCACCAGAAGAAGGTTTCAGCCTCCTTGGAACAGAACTTTTTGAACCTATTCAACGTGTTGTAGAGTACTGACTCTAAATGGGATAGTAATTTTTTTTTAAAAAAAATCAGAATATAACTAAGTCAAACTCAAAGTCAGATACTCTCTGTAAAACATTCACTTTTAAAAATAAGCATTTTAGAAATTTTCAAAAGCAATTTCCTAAGGGTAGCTCTGCAGTCATTATACAGGAATCAAATTTTGCACCCCAGGAGGTGACTAAGGTACATAAAAGGTGATCAGCTATTTATGTGACTGGTTTAATGAAAATATACTGGCTTTACATTAGGTTTACTTTAGGTGAGTCAGTGCACAGTAAATTATCCCTGCTCATTTACACCTATTAAGGCAACGTTTATATCTACGTACAGTAATAGCTACATCCTTCACTGTCTTTCTCTAACACCATTTTTTTATTACAGAGAAGGAAATAACATTTGTATGAAGTAAAATAAGCAGTAGATTTAGATAGAAGTTACCATTGGTGTTTTCAGCATGTCATCAGGACATATCTGATATTAAAAGGTTAAAATGTGTAAGAATACATTAACGACCAGCATTGGAACAATCAATGTAGACTACATTGCAAGTCATGGGATTCCTGGCACTGGTTAGTATTTGTTTTAACAAAAAGAGAATTAAATATTATGATTCTGCAATAATTCTCTGATCTTCATTTAAGTGACTAAAACGAATTAACCCTTTGGCACTGAAAAGATGATACAAACAATTCAGTAATACAGAATTCTAAGCTTTTAAAACAAAGGGTTAAAATTCACAACAGTCTGTTTGGGTCTTTGCAAATTGTCACCACATTCCTCTGAAAATGCAAGTGTACAGTAATGGAAGACTTTGAAGCCACATACACAGTAACATGGCTTAACTCTGTGAAAGCTGCATAGACTTACAGACATGATTCTCCCTTGACTGCAGCAAAACAGAATAAATTATTCTAAACATAATTGTTAAAGACATTGAACATATGTGAGATTAGGGTAAGTAACAGTCTGTCATGATTTTCACATTGTTTAAAAAGTGCATATTAATTGAAGAAAGCTAGCTAAGGCACAAAATATACAAACATCCAGGAAGGGGAAAAAATAGCTATACTGTTCCCAATTTTAGTATCAAAGCTAAACCAAAACTGCAAAGATAATTTGATGGTGCTTAAGCTTCAGCTTTTACTTCAGTTTTAATAACACTGCCCATACTCTTGTGTGTTATGGTTTAGTAGAACAAACTTTTTAATTGAGTTCAGAATATATTTAGCAGGATTTCTGACAATAAAGGGAATAATAATAACTGTCGTTATCAATATATAATTGTTGGCTGGTTTTAAAATATGGAGTTTTACTACTGACAACACTGCAAACTATTTAAGCTTTGTTTGTGGGCTATTCACAGGGAAATGAAAAGTCTGATAAAACCTCTTATCTACATTATGGAAATTTTGTGATATTTATATTCTGAAGTTAATGGCTGTTTTCTCATTGCCTTTTGGTCAGATAGGCTATGTTCATTTTCACAAAAGCAAGAAAACTGATAAAAATAGTAAGATGTATATTTGTATATTTTTAAATATTTTTAACGTTCTAAATGTTGTACAGAATAACCATAGCCCAAAGTTTGTTTATATGCATGGAATCTCTCATGGGCTGATGGAGCTCCCAAACAAACAAAGCTTTCACAGCCATCATCAAAGTAAACACAGAAGTCACAAAAGCTTTGCATGCATTCTAGCTTTAAATGGGGGATTCATTGACTTGGAAGTTGTCTCATTACCTTTAATATAATTTTTTCCATATAAGTGTATTGTGCATTGACTTAAGAACTGTTTCATTGGAAATTACACTGAGCTGCAGTGTTGAACATAGTTTAAAACTAGGTCAACGTTCTTAGTTACATTTCCTAAATTATGCTGTGTCAAAAAGGATAAAATATTTTAAATAGCCAAATATTGCCTGGTTTTTGTACAGTAGTCAGTATTCAAGCTATTTGGCATGTATCTTATTATTATGCTATCATACATCCCCTGTATACAGCAGGGAATCTGAACTGCAAGTACAAAGCTCATGATCTTACCTGCCAATCTAATACTGATCATAATATTACAGCATAAATTTAACATAAAAATAAAGGGTTCAGGAATGAGAAGCTAGTCTAATTTTACTCACCTCTCTGGAATTATCTTCAAATGTCAATAGCATTTAGGTATGTGCAGAAGAAAGGAACTTATTAGATAATCAGTCTCTATGTAAAGATGCTTACTAAACCAACACAATGCTGTTTATGTTTACCATTCAAACTGGCATCCTAATGCATCCTAACACAGAGCCCTAAATCTGTGTCCCCCCCGGAGTCACAGCCTTGTTGGGGGAAGCTGTCTCATTCATTTCAGTGGCGACAGTATAGCTATCCTTTTAAAAACATGGTATAGAGAGGGAAGCCTTATCTCAGTAAGGGCTACTGTGGCTTTCTATGATGTGGAACATGACAGAGTACGAATGAGAACTGTGGATTTATCTACTATACAGAATGAGATAGGAGGGTTTTTTTTAAAATGGCATTGAAATGATATAATTTACATGTGAAGACATTATTCCTACAAATATGAATTTAGAACCCCATGAAACAGCAACATGAAATAGGAATGGTTTGAAAATGCAGTCAATCATGAAATGGCACATTGGGAATTTGTTCAAAGGGAGACTGATATATAGAAAACTTTGCAAAAACCCAAACAGCAATTGCCTGACAAATAGGACATCAATACCACAATAAATTATAAAACAGCTTTGTATGTAAAGACAATCAATAATTTACAGTTAAACGCGATCTGACATTTATGCACATAATGGTAACTAAAAAGTAATTTTGACATTCCTATTAAAAATTAAAATAAAAATTTCACTAAAAATAAATATTTCCAAAGTGATCATAACTTCATTCTTGTCTGAAAAAGTCTCGTTGTTGAGCATATAATATTCAGAACACAAATTTCAGTAAGTGAAAGAAGTTTGGAAATCACCGTTTAACATTATATCCTATAAAATGATATACCCTCAAGTTCACTTCTATACTGAGGTTTCAGCATCTACATACTTTGTTTCAGATGCCTTTTCCGTGTCTATTTTCACACATTCTTCTTTTTCAGAGCTGTTAGAACAATGCAATAGGTTAGACAAATAAAAACATGCAAAGTTTATGAAATAACTTCTTTATTCATTATTGCTTTTTATCATGGGGAGTCTCTCACATGCTCACATTTATCTAAGAGTACAGTATACATCAACAAAATTTAACCTACAAGTGCCAATTGTTTTTTCTACTCAATTGTGTTATGTAATTTTAAATGAAATATTTAATGTTCTATTACCCATAGATTTATCCAGTATACACATATCTATGCAGAGAACAAGCCTAGAAATAGCTAAATGCTGTGCAGTAGAAATTGTCACTACTGAAATCTGCCATTTGAGGCCATGTTGACTGAATTGAGATTTTTCTCCAAACTAGGGAGAACCTCCCCCAGGGTTGCAAAAAAATCTAAAACTTTAAAAAGAGGTGTCTCCCCCCAAACCCCCTCCCCAAAACATAAAGCCGCTTTCTGTGCTTGTGCAGGCAACTGTCCTCCTGGGTGTCTCCTGGGTTACCCTTTCATATTCTTTTTTTTGTCCATTGCCCACTGCTGAGGTGGCCTCACCAGAGGCACACAGATGGCCAGCAAAGGAGGGTGAGCTTCCAATGCCCCCCCCCACATGACAAAACTGCTACTAAGGTAGTAGTCTTGGAGACTGGTGAGTGAGGAAGAGGGGAAGGCTCTGCCACAGTCCCACAGCTGAAACCACTGCTAAGGTAGCAGAACTGGAAGTGGGACAAGTAAGGAGGGGAAGTCTCCACCCCCCAGCATCCCCCTTCCATCATCAACTCAGAAAGGGCAGCGGGGAGAGAGATGGCCTACCAAAATCCTCCCTGCAAATCTCTTGGTGGGGTGGAATGGCAAACTGCCTAGAAAGTGGTTCGTCCAACCAGGGGGGTATTTCTCCTTCCCCAGTCTTACAGATCCCCACTTGTAAAAAATCTAATTTTCAGACCAGCCTAAAGTGTACAGTCACTAAAACCAGGGGCAAGGAGGAAAATATTCCCACCTTTTGCCACAGAAGAATATTTCAAACACAACCATTCCATGTCTTCAGATTATTACTACACAGTACTAAAAATGTGACTTGCCCCAAACCCAGAGGTAATTAGGAGGGATTACTCTAGTACAATACATCCCCCCCCAAAAAAACAACAACAGCTGAACCCAAATGCCATATCACTAAAATGCCAGTTTTAAAAACCGTTCGCCATGTGGCATTTAGGACTACTATTCAAGAAAATTGGCAAACTGTGTTTACTACAGTGGTGTTAACTGTTCTTTGGATTCTGACCTTCAGTGTACAAACCAATTCCTGTCTACCTTTGCCTCAACTCTTATTAGATTTCATACATTTTCTCTGTTCAGATTGTTAATATAAACTTATCATATATTCAAAATATTAATATATGATCAAAACAAATTACTTCCACAGCTATCATATACTTAAAGCAAAACTACAGCAAAACTACAATCAGAAATTGTGAGTAATTATAAGCTACCTCAAGTTAGATCTGGTTACTTTGGAATTCTCTGTGTTCATGGAAAGAGCCTTCCACTGTGCAGTTTTGGCCATTTCATCTGATATGTTTACAACAGAAGGATCAACGCTAGACAACAAACACACTTTGATTAGTACTCAGTGCCTTGCAATAGCGTTAATTATGTGTCATGCTGTTTATATCATTTGAGCCTTAGGTTATCGATTTACACAGCCACCAAAAGCATGTTTAATTCAACATCGTCACTAAATACTGTATTTTGTACCAATTAATTGGAATAAAGATTCCAAAGTTAAAGGGTAAATTTTATACAGGAAAAAGTGTACTTGACTTTTTAGGTGAATTCAGCTATAATAAGGTAATTGAAGTATTTATGGAAATGTTTGAATTTTAATGACAAATTACTTAATAATCTAAATCACATTTTGTCTTCTTCCAATGGAACATAAGACCAACACAATTTATAAAAGAATCTCATGGTACTTTTTTTACCATGTTTGCTTATGTAATGTCTTGTATTATGCAATGACATTTTAACATACAACTCTGATTTGCACTAAGGCTTGTATTTAAATGTACAGAGCAATACTTTCACAATAAAATGGCTAAGTGGCAATTAAACATCTTATATTTAATTGGGTAACAATGTATCTTAATTGAAATTATCTTGTTGAAAAGCAAATGTGAAGATATAGGTAACAGAAGCTTCCTACACCAAGTCAGACTTCCTGTCGGCTATCTTACTATTATCTACTTTGACTGGCCATGACACTCCAGGGTCTCAGGCAGAGGAACTTCATTCTCAGCACAGACTACCTGAGATTCTTTAACTGGAAAGTTTAGGGCTTGAACCGGGGACTTTCTGCATATAAAAGCACATGCTCTACCATTGTCAAAGTCCCTTTTAAGCTACCCCAAAAAAAACCTTACTCTCAACTAGGGCTATGGACAAAAAGCAGGATGTCCCTTGATAAATTGTTTGAAGGTTGGTATTCCAGTGGAGCTTTGTCAGAAGCACTTGAACTTTATATGTAAGATGTTTTAATTCCCCCTTTAGGGGGGGAAGGATAAAAAATTGGCAAAACTATCCCTTTCCCATAACTTTAAGCAGGTATGGATACCCTTATGAAGTTAAAAGGATACTGCTGATTGAGATTACTTTAAATAGTGTAAAGGCACGAGTGCTATATCTTTCAGACGAACCAGAGTTATCCTTTCATATTCTGCCTTCTATAAAGGGTTTATTGCTTGAATTTTTCATTAACCAATTAAACTCCATCTAAAAATTTCACTAAGCCACGAATTAATAACTATGGGAGTAATCCTACCCATCTGCTTGGAAGTAAGTCCCACTTTATTCAATGGGGCTTGCTCCCAGGAAGGTGTTTTTAGAATTACAGCCAAAATCATATACAGAAAATCTGGGCTTAAAAATAAACAAGCATGTGTGTTATTTGAGGAATTTAAGAAATTTGTCCACTTTTGCTATCAAATATTATTTCAATATTAAGTGTACATGTTTAAATACAAAAGGAATTGCTCTGTGACATTCCAACAAAATTGTTTAAGTAGCTGGTAAACATATGGCTCAGATAACTTATATTTAGTATCTTCAATGCTTTTCATATCATTAGCCATGCACACCACCACACTACAAAGAACTGACCAAAACAGTTTCTTCACCCTGAGAACAGCTGGTTGAAAGTGAGTCATCGGATCTGTTCAAAAGGGTCATGTGAGTAAGCAATAAGGAATTTAAAAACAGATACAAAAAATGATCTTATATAAAGGTATCATAAACTCCTTCCAGAGCATCTTCCCCAGCTAAGTGAATCCCAGATTTTGCCAGTGTTCATTCAAGTGTGTTAAAATATGTCATTTAAGGCAATATCAAATATAAAAGCTATATAAAAGAAACATTAAATGAAAATAGTAGGTATATATCACACCTGTATTTTAGTGCTTTCACAGGAATCTCTAACACATCGCTTCTTTCATATGGAAGGTGTACAGTTTCACTGTCCACTGTCTGAAACATTCGCTCAGCTTCCTGAAAGTTACATATTATCCAATACATATTTAACGTTATTTTAAGCTACAAGAACCAGGCATCTAAAACAAGGCCCTTTATCAAGCTTTCTTTAAATGCAGAGACAAGTGGCCACAAAGATGTACTTTGAGTAGTGCGACAATATCATTACACCTAGTTGCATCCAGCTACCTACTAGAATCTATGTAGTGAACTACACACAAACAGTGAAGTTAAAGCCTCCTCTTTATGGAGGTTGCTCTCAGTGTCATTCATCAAGCCCACCTGAACATCTGGGTATACTTCAGAAGTATTATTATTATAGTACATAGATCTGTTACTAGGGGAGAAACTAGTGGGCCTCCTAACAAGATTGACCGCTTGTACATCTTTGTGGCTTCTGGGATCTACAGATGTTTGAAGGGCCTACTGAGCCAAAGTCTGGATTGTTTAATTCTATCCACCAGTACTTTTCTAGCACATGGGAGATCTAGAGGGAGGATTGATTCAGGATCACAAAACTGAGCAGGAGCAGTTACACACTACTTGCTTAAGGAAGCTCTGTCACTTCAGAATTAAACAAAATTCAGTGGTACTTTTAAAGACAACAGCATTTATTTCAATATGAGCTTTTGTAGTCACGGCTGACCCCACAAAAAGTCATATTGAAATAAATGTTGTTAGTCTTTAAGGTGCCACTGGATTTTTTGTTTTACTTTGATAAAACAGATTAGCACAGCTACCCCTTCTGCAATCTCCCACTTCAAGCATCTTGTCAAAAGTGTAAATTAATCTTCAGTCAGCCCTAAAGAAATCCCAGTGCATGCAATGCAAGCCTCGCATACCTAAAGATTTAGTCTTAAGTAGAAAATTTCTCTTTTAAGGGTTTACAAAAGTGGCTCATGTTACATGGTACACCAAGTAAAGGCTGGAATCCAAACTGTGGAATCCAAATTCAGCCTTTCTCACAAAGACTTAAAGTGGATTACAAAGGTAAAATAAATAAAATAAAAATGCATGCAATAATCTAGAAAATTTAAAAAGACATTACAGTTCAGTAAAATGTATTAAAATTTGTAGAAATGCTTCTTAAATGGCATCTGTTTTACATGTTCTATGGACACAGCAGGGAAGCCTCCCTCATCTAATCAGATATTCCACCAAGTGAGCCCCCAATAGATAATGCTCAGATATGGGCAGGCATTGATCTAACCTGTTGCAGGGCAACATCTTCAGATGAACAAAGTAGTATAACTTGAGAATGGCTTATAACAGAGTTTTTTATGACTATCAAGGCCTAGAGCTCATAAGTATGTTCTGTAAAACCAATCACATTCTCCAGCTATTGTATTTAAACTCATATAGAATATGAAACATTACAGGACTGACCATATAAATAAAGTATCTATGGTTTTCATTTCTTTCAGTAAATTCTCCTTTTACTTATTTAAATATGACTGGTCTACTTACTTCTTTTGCTTTTTTCTTTTTGTCATCTTCCTTCTTCTTTTTACTTTCTGGCATAAGATCATCAAGCCAACTTAGCTCCCGTTTGGTGAAACACAAATCCAAAAGTTTGCGTATGAAAACCAGAGCTAATACCTTAAAAGCAATTTTTAAAAGACCATGTTCAGATCAGTATATAGAGAAAATAATACAAAACTAATGGCTTGCTTCCTCCCTTCCCGCCAAAAAGAACTCTACTAGCAATATGCCCTCAGGAACTGTAAGACAAGGAGCAGGTACAGGGAAGCTTGTTCCCTTGCTCCCTGCCAATGAACACACCATCCCAAACCATCCTGTGCTGGATAAGTACAGAGAGGAAAGGAAGAACAAGTGTAACAAGTCACATGACCAAGGGCAATTGAATAGTTGCACCACTTCCATCTCAGTGAGAGATCAGTCTTGTCATAAATGGAGCAAAATGCCTATTAACAAGGAAGAAGAAGAAGAAGAGGAGGAGGAGGAGGAGATTGGATTTATACCCCGTCCTTCACTACCCAAAGGTGTCTCAGAGCGGCTTACAAACTCCTTTCCCTTCCCCTCCCAACAGACACCCTGTGAGGTAGGTGGGGCTGAGAGAGCTCTTGACAGAAACTGCTCTTTTTCAAGAACAGCTCTTATCAGAGCTACAGCTTGCCCAAGGTCATCCAGCCAGGTGCAAGTGGAGGAGTGGGGAATCAAACCCAGTTCTCCCAGATTAGAGTCCACGCACTTAACCACTACACCAAACTAACCCCTTCATACTGGGCGTTGTCATCCTGATCTCCCTCTTTTTACCTTCCCTGTGTTGCCTCTTAGTGTATGAGCTTGGGAGAGGGCTTCAATCTTATTTTCATTTATGAACACTGTCCTGCACCCCCACCCCAACATTGTAATTACTGCAAACCACCTGGGGAGATAATTTTGGTGCAAAAATTGGCTTAAAATGCAAGTAATAACAAAAGAGAATAATGATTTTCAACCTTTTTTTGGTTGAAGAAACCCTGTAACATATTGTGATGCCACACTCAACCCCAACACAAAGTAAACATACAAACAATAGATAATTTGGCAAAAAGCAGGGCAAGTGAAGTAACTGAAGCAGGAATTCGTAAAATGTTGTGACACCTCTGAGGGATGCCAGCAGAACCCAAGGGTTCCATTGAACCCTGGTTTTAAAAAGCTCTGGAACAGAAAAAGTTATGTAAAACAGAATTCTAGTGAACAGTTCTCTGAACTCTAGCAAACAACTGGTTTGGCATACTTTCAAAAATAATGACTAATAATGGAAGGTTCTTAGTTAACTTACCATCATAGGAAAAACAACAGCAGCTGCAGAAGCTTTAATTACCCACAGAAGAACAAGACAAGTAAGCTGAACTACTGTAAATATATGGACCTTCCAGAGAGGCACGTAACGCAGATAGATCAAATCTGGCTGATGTTTGGCAGGCATTCCAAATAATTTGATACGATCAAAAAACTAAATTTAGAAGAAGAAAAATTACTAAATCCTTGAGGAAACTAAAAATATGCACGTATATATATATATATAAAGATAGGCAGTGTTGGTCATTTCCATATGAAAATACTGGTTCAGTCAATACTGGCCAAATGTTTAGAGCATTAACTTATTACAATTTTAATACTCATAGTAGTTACAAAAGAATTAGTTGTTATACAAAAAAAATCAAATTGTCCTCCTGAAACAAGCATGGCCTCCATCCCAGAAAAGCTCCATTTCATCATTTCCCCAATCCAGAAGCTTTATTTAGGAAGTAATATTTTTACACTGCTTTCTTTCACTTGCTTAACCCAGTACCAGTTTTCTGGGAGGAAGTAAAAGAAACATCATAAACATATTGTTCCTCCTTGTTCCCCTGGCATGACTTACAAGAGTGAGAAAAGGATATTATTTTCCCCTGTGGGTCCCATCCAGAACAGTTAAATCAATCCGTCTCAGGAATGGTAAGCAATGGCCTTACAACAATACTGTCCAAGTGTTTATATATTTCACTATAAAAATTAATTGTATCTGCTCACTTGATTTTATTTATTTGATTTTTATCCCGCCCTCCCAGCCATAGCCAGCACAGAACGGCTTACAAAACAGGATAAATTTCCGATAATACATATAAAATCACAGCACCAATGAATATAAATATATTAGGGCTCTTTTTGTAGCAGGAACTCCTTTGCATATTAGGCGATACACCCCTAATGTAGCCAATCCTCCAAGAGCTTACAGTAGCCCCTGTAAGAAGAGCTCTGTAAGCTCTTGGAGGATTGGCTACATTAGGGATGTGTCGCCTAATATGCAAAGGAGTTCCTGCTACAAAAAGAGCCCTGAGTGCTAACATAATCTCCTCCTTTTAAAATCAGCTCCTAGGTCTGCTTCAATTGTCTTGGGCGATTAGCTCGGGCAGTAATTAAAGGGTCCACCATAAGGTGTCAGTTGTTATTGGTGGTGGTAATGGTGATCGTAGTGGTGGTGGCAGCTCCAAAGGCCTGGCGGAAGAGCTCCGTTTCACAGGCCCTGCAGAACTATAAAAGGTCCCGCAGGACCCTGATCTCTTCTGGGAGCTCATTCCACCTGAGTGGAGCCACCACCGAAAAAGCCCTGGCCCTAGTTGTCACTAGCCTGGCCTCCTTGATGCTCAGGAGAGCCAGATGATTCTGGGTCCCTGATCGCAGTGCTCTCTGGGGTACATATGGGGAAAGGCAGTCCCTCAGGTATGTAGGTCCCTGGTCATAAAGGGCTTTAAAGGTAAGGACCAGCACCTTGAAGCAAATCCGGTATGCTATTGGCAGCCAGTGCAAAGCCTATAGTACAGGCTGGATGTGCTCCTGAATAGGGAGTCCCATCAACAGCCTGGCTGCGGCATTTTGCACCAGCTGCAGCTTCCGGATTTGCGACAAGGGCAGACCCATGTAGAGGGCATTACAGTAATCCAATGTCAAGGGGACCATCATATGGATCACTGTTGCCAAGTCGTCGTGTTCAAGGAAGGGAACCAACTGCCTAATCAGCCAAAGATGGTAAAAGGCCAACTTGGCAGTGGTGCTACCTGGGCCTCTATTGTTAAAGAGGCATCCAGGAGCACTCCCAGACTCCTAACCTCTGGCGCTGACACCAATGATGCCCCATCAAAGGTTGGAAGCGGGATCCCTACCCTCGGACCGCTGCAGCTCAGGCACAGGACCTCCGTCTTCGTCGGATTCAATTTCAGCCGGCTCAGCCTAAGCCAACCAGCCACGGTTTGTAACACCCGGTCTAGATCGTCCGGTTTGGAGTCAGACTGGCCATCCAACAACAGATAGAGCTGGGTGTCGTCTGCATACAGGTGACAACCCACCCCATGCCTCTGGGCAAGAGGGCGCATATAGATGTTAAAAAGCATCAGGGACAGCACCGCCCCTTGGGGCACTCCACATTCCAATGGGTACCTGCAGGACAGCTGATCCCCCAGCGCCATCTTTGTCCCCAATCTTGGAGAAAGGAAGCAAGCCACTGCAAGGCTAGTCCCTGAATTCCAGTGTCAGCGAGGTGGTGGATCAGTAGCTGATGGTCAACCATGTCGAACGCAGCCAACAGGTCTAACACCAACAGCACTGCCAATCCGCCCCAATCCAGATGCCTCTGGAGGTCTTCTGTGAGGGCGACCAGTGCCATCTCTGTCCCGTGGCCTGGGCGAAAACCGGACTGGAAGGGATCTAACACTTATATAAGAGAGTGAGATATGAACCAAGGGATACCAGTAGGGTAGGAGCTAAGCCTGCCCTCATCTTTTGATGAGCCCATTACTTGAGAGTGACAGCAGGGTTTTGCTTCCTTTAGCTTTTCTTGCAAAACTGTGGCCCCATTTATGTTGTCCTACAAAATGCAACGGGAACCCATCCATATATATATCTGTATGTTCCATATCTGCAGATTCCACCACGCAGGATCCTGTTTCTTGGTTATGCTATAGGATGGCATAATGCTGGACTACGAAGATTAGCTCTGGCTCATGTTTTACTCCCTATTTTATCAATTCATTACACTTTTACATCACTTCGTTTCATTTATAGCTATTACTGTACAAGACAATTTTAGAAGACATTACATAATTAAAACACAACTTGCCTGGATGCCTTTTAGTGAGGATGCTCCCATGTAAAGAAAAACACCATACAAGACTGGCATTGGAATAAACTGTGGAGAAAATGTTTAAACAATGTTTAAACCTGAGAACTAACAAATCATGGAAGATAAAATACATCATTTTTACAATGGATTAAATAAAAAGTGAAATTTTCATAGTCTCAAGTATTTCACCCAGAAGCAGTTACAAAACTGTACTTTCATTTTTAAAAAAAACCTTTTGGCTATCAGACCTAAAAAAGGATCATTATATAGTAATCTAAAGCCAGATTTCCAACGTGAACTTTGGGATGTAAAACAAATTTATGTCAGCACAATTAAGTGAAATATTAACCTAACAAAGTTTTGTACCCCTTCGGTACCCTCTGAGCCCAATTAAATATTGGACATAAATGCATGCAACAAAACTCAACAGGTACTTTGGTTCTTAGAAAGCCAGTCTGGGAATGGACAAGATAAAGTGGTGAAACAAGAATGATGAAACATTTCACTTGTCTAGCACTATTCTCCTGCAACTCTTTCACTCCTTAGAGTTTAAGATGCTTGTTTTACAAAGTTAACTTACCTGTGGAACTCCACAGACATCTTTGATGGGGGGGGAAGTGCAAACGTAGCAGATGGGGGGAAGGGAAGTGTCCCTCCTAGTCTCCCAGTTGCTATACAGGCAGCCCCAGGAAGCAAGCCACCTGAACCCCTGCCAGTCAAATAGCTCCTGCCATCTCATCCCTGGACAGCTCTGTGGGGCCACTGCTACACTAAACAGACAGGCTATATCTGAATTACCACACATCAGATTTCATACAGTCAAGTATTTCCTTCACAAAGAAAGGCCAAACACTCAGGCACTCAGACCAAAATACTAGATGGTGTCATATTATAGTTTCAGAATACTCAAATGCCCATGCCACACTATGCAACCAGTACACTGTTACATAATTTGAAACTCCTCAAATATTATTGACTATTATAAGTAATTTGATACAGCCATATCACAAATATCATTAGCTCCTTACTGTAGATAGAGGATCAGACGAATAAAATACCCTAACCATCATGTTTAAACTGTCAGAATTTTTAAACTGCTAAGAAAATAAAATTTGTCTCCAAAGCAGCTCTCTCCAAATAAAATTGTACAAATCTAGATTATAAAGCACAACAAAAAAGAAGATGAAGGTGCCTGCCCAGAAAAACAATTTCCGATGACTCCATAAATTATTGCATAACTTTGACTGTTTACCTTTGAATGTAAAAGCACATTGTGAATCTATTCCTGCTACGATGGCATTCAATTGTGGTTGATATCTTAATGTCAACTGTATCTATACATCATGAGGTACTACACTGTCATTGCACCACAGCATTTGCAAATGATTGGCATAATACAATAGTGCAATATCATGGCAGAGCATCCCATCCTTGTGTTTAAGAACAAGCTCACTTAAAATTTAAGACTGACAAAATCTCTGTGTTGTTAACTACTAAGAACAGACTGTCAAAGATCCCAAGTATTCTGCAGCCAAGCAGAGCTAACAAGCAAAAGTTTGTAGATGGGAGTAGTCTTCCATTGCATTTACTTCAGAGTGTTTTTCTTACAGTGCAATCCTAAGCAGGTCTATCCAGAATCTTAACTCAGGTTTAGACAATGGAGCTTAGTTGCAAAAAAGCATTTTAGGATTGCACTGTTATTCAGCAGGTCATTTACTTCTATTTGGCAATAATGACCTATTATGCAAGCACTGTTTACTGGAGATTTTCCAAGCAGTAAGCCTTTTAAGCTTGACTTCGGATTCTGTTCCCACCTTATGCACCATTCCTTTGCCTCCAGTGTATTCATTCTGCAGCTACAAGCACCCCCCCCCCGGGGGGGGGCAGTTTTTTTAAATCGAGGTGGAACATCACTTGTGATGTGTGGGGGCTTGTTTTTTTAAAAAATTACACAATTGCCCTATCGTAGCTGTACAGTAGCATCCAACAAGCACCTTCCATTTAAATCCTCATGGTTCAGGTTTTTGCACATATATTTTAGCACTGATTCGCAGAATGAAAGGGAACATAAAGGAAGGCAGGCATCCCACTTTTGAAATTGACCAGACTTTTTCTGCAATTGACAAGCAGCTGCAAAGCCCCATTTCCCATACTGTCTAGCACTAGGGGATTCTCTACTGTGTTATCCGTCACTGTGAAAAATGGAAAAGTGTCACACGATCTCATAATGTGGAGGAACATGCTGAGTGCACAGAATACATGGTTGAACCCACTGACACTGGCATTAGAAGCTGTGATTGTTGTCAATGCGTGTGTGCACAAGTGCACTTTTCTTCTAGGAACAGTAAGGAGAGGGCAGCCCAGCTGGGCTTGCTGGGCATGTGGGGAGCTGATGGCTCCTTGCGCGCACAACTCAGCACCGCCTCCTTCTGCCACCATGCCAGTTTGCTATGTGCCTGCCTAACTAGATGAAAAGCTGGGAGATCCTTGACTGCAATTCCCTAGAGTTTTAAAACTAGAAATAGCAACCATGCAGCACCCCAATTCAGGTCAGAGAGGAGAGGGAGTTCAATTTTTTTCCCCACAGCATAGTTTCACCAATCAAAACTTAACTCTTCCTCCACATACACATGTGCTATGATTTGCCCATTCTTTTCCCCTTCAGAACTAATGTCCAATCAATGTCCATCTTTTTTCTTTCTTTCCAAAATCAAGCTTAAATTGGCAAAACTGCACAGAGGAGAAGAGTTAGGTCTCCTCTTCTCCATGCTGCACAGTTACTATTTCTATTTTTAAAATTCTAGAAAAGTCCAACCAGAATCTTGTCCAGGTCAGAGGCCTATTGTTGTTGAAATGAATCAGGTTCTAAATTCCTTGACACCCTTCCTATGAGGCCACACAAAGTTCCCTCTAAACTGCACTAGGGTGTGCTGTCGCACAACATTTTAGCTGACAGTGCAGAGAATTTAGCTGCTGGCTCAGCCTACAAGTGAACTGAGAACATTTTCCCCTCCATTGAAAACAATGGAGGATGGGGCACCTCCTTCTGGGGCTCGTAGAACTGGACCCCCGGCCGGGTCAAACTTTTTGAAACGTGGGGGGGGGGGGGGTTGAGGAGAGGCACCAGCAGCTATGCTGCAAATTTGGTCCCTCTAACTAAGAAAACCCAGCCCCCTCAGAGCCCCACATACCCTCAGATCAATTCTCCATTATAGCCTATGGGGCCCATTGACTATAATGGAGCCCAGAAAAAATCAGGGTTTTTTGCACTCCCATATTATGCTTTTCAATATGATTTATAAGCTGCCTTGAGTCATAGGGGAAAGTGGGATATAAATATTTGAATAAATAAGTAGTTTGGGCAGGTTGATAACATTTAAGCAACTTCCTGTTTGTTAGGTTAGGCAGGGTTCTGACAGTGATTTTCCACCTCTGTTATACTTGGCCTGTAATGCTGGTTGTCATATTTCACTAAAAACCCCAAGTGCTGGTATATTTTCTAAGGCTCAGCATAGGCTGACGGTCTGAGGCCAGGTCTACCAATGTAGTGGCCTGGGGCAGGTAGAGCTGTTCTCCAGAGGCTTGGTCTACCAATACAGTGGAAACGGGTAGACAGAGCTGTTCTCCAGAGGCCGGGTCTACTAATATAGTGAAGAGAGGTGAGTAGACTTGTTCTCTGGAGGTCTACCAATATAGTAGAAAGCAGTGGATAGACCTATTCTCTGGAGGACAGGCCTACCAATATAGTGGAAAGGGGCGGGTGAAAATTGACTTGATTTTGTTTTCTCTTATAATGTTTAAATTATTCTTAAACTATAGTTTTAATATAATGTAAAATAATTTATTCTGAGATTTTTACAAGGTTATGGAAATAATCTAAAAAACTAATTTACGCGATAGTCAAATGTAGACTCGCTCACAACTTTAATGCTACTAGCTTTTTTTGCTCAGAAGGTAGAATTTCTGCTCACAACACTGTGGAGCTTAGCGGGAACATAGCAGGTAACTGCTAAGAGTACCAATCTGCATCAAGTAGATTTTTCTGTAGCAGCAGAAGGTACCAGTTTTTCATGTCCCAGCATTCTTTTGTCGACAGTGCCTCCACCACAGAAGAACTGCAGCATACACTCGTGAGTTGATATCATTAGGAAGTTAGAAAATTCAGACAATAGACGAACAGCAAATAGCACAAAGAAGGACTAGTTGCAACTAAGACGGGCTGTAGTCTAGTGAACAGTATTGCATGTCCGCATGCTTATGTGTGTGAGACAGACTATTAAATGACATAGAGAGGAACTGATCACCTCATACCCTGCTAAATTGAAAGAACAGAAGGGAATGATCTAAAAGGTCCTGGTGGGACCTGAACCGTCAAAAATATCATGCAAGGAGGAGCTGGTGTAGCTTACTACTAAACAGTAAATACTCTGACCTGGATAGCCCAGGCTAGTGAGATCTTGTTGTCAGTTGTGCTCACTGTGCATACGGGGAGCCAATAAGCATGCGCAGCTCAGCACTGCCTCCTCCCAGTGCCCAGTTTAAACCGAGCAGCAGCAGAGATCAGCCCAGCCGGGAGTCATTTCCCTTTTTTTACAGTGGTCTGAGACTAGTGATAGTCTCATATCGCTAGACTCGTGCCACTTGTAAAAAAAAAAATGGCAGAAGGTACAGAGACAGCAGAACAACCTGGATGTGGGTGTAGGAGTGGCCTACAAGGGGCAGAGGGGGAAATCTGAGGGAATCTGTATGCTTTTGAAGTACTTTCAGCTTGGAAGTGAAGCACGGGGGGAAATAGCACAAAAGCACTCTCAAAAAACCTGGAGAACTGAGAGCTGAAGGGGGGGGGGAAACTATGCAGAATGAAAAAGAAAACCCAACAGACATGCAAAGCGAAGCAAAACACCCGTGCATAATAAAGCCAATGAATGTCAAGTACCAACCCTTCTCCATGCAGCTGTTGAAGCATCTGGCCATGGCATTCTATTCTACCCTACCATTTTTAAAGTATATAGTAGTGTCAAATACAGACGATTCTCTCATCTAACTTTCCATTGAAGTTTTGCTACTTCAGGGCAGAATAGGAATTAACTCATTCCAGCCTGACCAGTGAGGATTTTGAAATGGTAATTAACTTATAAACTTTATAAAGATGTACAGCAAAAATGATTTCTTACCTTTAATATAGAGGTCATGAACACTGACATCCCCATTAGAACAAAAATCATTAATCCCGTTACTCTCTGCTCACGGATTCCGAGAAACTTCGGCTGCTCTCCTGGAGCAGAGCACTCAGATTCTACTTTTAAACTGTTGACGTGACTTATAGAAAGAACAGTAGCAGCCACAAACCAAGGCAAGCCCATTATGGAGCATATTCCTAGCATAACGCCAACCATGAGCAGATCAAGATGATAGCCACAGCCTTTCTGTGGAGTCAAAAACACATATGACACCATAGCAATTATAGCAACAAAATACCTTTTAAAGTTTCTACAAAGGGATCTGAAATACCTTTAACTGCTACAATTTGTAACAAACTAAGATTGTTTGAAACAATGTAAAATATAAGCCACGCTGGATAGAGTAGACTAGAATCTGGCTGGCTGTTAAGAGAAACCCTACAAAATTATAGTATCTGCTTTCTAGAACACAATTTTGTTCCCAAGGACATACACTATAATCAACCTCACAACTACAAGGGGAGGAAAAGAGAGAATTCATGGCTGAGCAATATGCCAAACATAGGTTTCCAGTAGTATAGTATAGTATAGTAAATAGAGGCCCCGGTCACACGGCAAAGTTGCCGCGGGAGAGGCACGGGAGTCCCGCGGATTTTCCAGGCACGATCTCACCCCAACATCTGTGAAGCGCAGTGCTCCCGTGGCTCCCCGCCGAAGGTGCGGAGTTAAAAACTAGTACCTACGAGATACTAGTTTCCTGAAACCGCGGGCCAAGGGCGGGCATCTGATCGTATTCCCGGTGGACTTGCATGGCATCCGGCGCCCGCCGCTGTTCGTCTCCGCAGGTTGCGCAAAAGCGCATGCGCACAAAGAGTGATTGCTAGTGCGATCGCGCGGCTTCTGTGCCACACTGCAGGATACCCATCTGATCGGCATTTCCCCCGAACCATGGGACCTCGACCGGGACGTGTGCTCGGGCAGCCGCGCGTTAGTTTCCTCCGGGGCAATTAGCCACGCCTCCCCCCCGCGATATCCGGCCCGTGTAACCGGGGCCACAGATACTCTGGCAACACCTTCAAGTCATTAAGTGTGTACACATGTAGAAGCCAAAAATCCCAAATCTGATACCAGAAAAATCCTCTGTGAAGTTAATTATGTGGTCCTCATCATAAGGGAAACAGTTGGGATATGTGGGCAGGATCTACTCAAAATACAGCTGTAGTCTCAAAAACTCTTCCAATAATCACAAGGCCCATTATTTACTCCTCTTTTCTATTCAGCTTCCCTAGCTCTATATTCCAAGGACATCAAAGATTTCAATTGCGTATATTTACCAGTCAGTCTTTGACATACATGTGTTTACATGTTTTAATTGTTTTTAACTGTTTTATACATATTTTAAACATTGGTTTTAATTTTTTTATTGTTCTCTGCCTTTCCTACATTGGGAGGAATGACAGGATAGAAATGTTTAAAATAAACAAAAACAGATTACATCCCTCTCTGGCTTTTTAAGAGTTTAAAGCAAAATAAGGGCTGTTTAATATTAATTTTGTTTTACTTGCCAAATTATGTGGACTACATTTTTTAAAAACTTTCAAGTTCAGCATTGTAGACCTTTAACAAGTATAATGGGGGAGTTGATCTGGGCATTCACAATTTCTGTCAGAAAATGAAACAAATACATTACCTTCAGCTTATGTTCCTTTCTGTTTATGATGACTGCTGTAATTTGCTGGTCCATAAAAATCAGAATGGTACAGAGTAAAGCAGGAACTGCAGCTACTATGAGTGTCCACCAAGGATTAGGCCCTAGAGGATCTATGAGCCATCCCCGATCACTTCGTGTGGGCTAGAAAGAGATAAATATTAAAAAATTAATAAAAACAAAACAGGGCATGCATTACTTATAAAGCAAACATGTGAATTATTACTAACTTTACATGAGCTCTGTTTGCACTAAATAACTTTAGAATGCTAACACTTCCCCAAAATTCTGTTTAAGAGGTAATTGAAATGCTGTGGGATGAGGAAAGAATACCACAGAATACCAAAGAATGCATCATATTAAAATTAAGGCTTCATACGAAATACAATTAAAGAAAATATAAAGTTTCCCTATTCTGATAGTATATTTTAAAACCAGCAAAAAAATAATCGTGGAATGCAGAGACAGGTTAATTTAATGTGGCATAATATCATACAAATAATCCTCTTACTTCAGACTTTTTGATGTAAACCACCTCAAGCCACTATGGGACAGGCAGCACAAATTAATAATCTAATCATATGAATATTTACTTAGAAGCCATTTAAATAAGACTTGCTCGCTCTTCCTTGCTCCAGTGGTCCGTCCAGCTGAGAGACCTGATGGTACAAGTGAAGCTAGCCAGGTCAAGCATAGGAGATCAGGCGTTTGAAATGATGAATGAAGAGGGGTCGGAAGACCAACTATGAACGTGAGTCAAATGAGAACTGATTTTTAAACGAAAAGACACTCCTTACCCGAAGCAGCAAAACGGCAGAAGCGAGTGGTGGGACGCCTCCCATGCCCATAAATTGTTGAGCGAAAGGGGAGGGAGTGGAAGAATAAACAAGAAATTGCCCAGAAGTACTCATCCATCGAGCTATACAGACAAGCGCATATTCAGAGACTTTAAAATTTATTGCGAAAGCAAACAAACGAGAAAAAGATGGCGGGGAAGAGGGACAGAGACAAAGAGAAACTTTTAAAAGCGAAACTAGAGTCCCTGGAAACAACCAGTGAGATGACGAAGGCGATGACAGAGGTCATGCGCCCTCTGCTGGAACAGCTCAATGTCTTTAAAGAACAGATGTCTGTTGTAACAGCGAATATTACTGCAGAACAAAAGCAGCTGCAAGTTGCGACAAGCATTACTGCTCAACAAACGCAAATAACGGATTTGATTCAAGTAATGAAGCAGGATGCTGAGAAAGTAAAGGAAATGGCTGAGGCAATGCAGATATTGAGGAAAAAAGTGCAAAAATTGGAAAAGAAAACTGTATCTTTGGAAGATCAGATGCTGCAAGTACAAATGGATAAGGCTAATATGGTCCTGCGCTTCCAAGGGGTGCCAGAGAAAAGAGGAGAGAATCTTAAAGAATTTATGAGTGAGCTACTTGCCCCAGTAGCAGAAATAAAGGCGTACTTGCTACTCAACGACATGGATGTGGCCTACAGGTCATATTCAGGATACATAAAGAAAAATAATCTGCCTGGGGAAATTTGCTTTAGTCCTACCAGACAGTTTACAAAATACAGTAATAACAGGAAGAAAGTAGTTTGGACTCCTAGCATTTTTGGTATGGGATCCCACAATCTCCTATGTTGTCACTCATACTGTGTAACAAATACTGTGCTGAAGTTATCTGTAAATATGGAGTAAACTTTGCTGTGATAACATTCAACTATTTCTCCTTTTCATCAGGGTCAGCTGATGCTGTATTTTATTCTTTTACTCAGAATGTATTTCAAACATAATTTTGATGGACTAAGTAGAATATAGACATTGGCATGTATCCAACGTCACATTTCCTCCAATGGAACAAGATTTCTGTTTTCAGAAATGGGGGTGGCAATTGTTATCAATTCTCCCCCCTCACATTGTTGACCACCTCTTTAGCACCTGTCCGTTCCTGTTTAATACTGGGGTACTTCTATATAATGGGTTCATAACTTTAATCTTGTGTTTATCCTTTAAAGCCTGAAACAAGCCATTTGCCTATTCATTCCAATTCCATTCCAGTAATCTCACAGTATTATAGTGAATAGCTACACAGGAGTTTCATTAAAATTATGTTTTATCCACAATATTTAAGAATAGCCTTTCACAATTGTAGATGTTTTTCAAAGGAACATTTTCTTACCTCAAATTTTTCAGGCACATGAAGTTTAGGAGAAGGAACTCCCACAAGGTAATCAATAAGAACCATTATTACTATAGTCAAAAATACAGCAAAGTCACTTATTGTAGAACGCACCTAAAAAGTAAGGGGAATAGTATTTAAAAAAACCTATTTTGCAAACAAAGACTACCTGCAATGGCGAGGGGGCACTACCTACTGACTCATATTATTTCCAAAGAATGCATTGAGATTTATACTTAATCAGACCCTGTGGAATGTAATATGAACTCATCAAAGTTGTTAAGGTTGCCATCACTGATTAATAAGAATTATTACTATGCCATATTACAGCTGTAGTCTACTTTTCCCCTCTTTAATTTAATGGTGAAAAGGAAGGGAAACTACTAGCACAGGGTAAAGTTACTTTGTAGTTTTAACATTGAAAAGGTAATTGCAAGCTGGATCACATTTGTTCAAAATCAGATTATTTCTAGAAAAGTTACTAACGTTAAGGCAAACCTATCACAACTTTTTTCGCTAAAGTTGTGGTTTAATATCTAGAAGTAATGGTCAGATTATGATAATGTTATTTGTTCAGTATTGCAACAAATTACAAATTCACAACAACTGAAATATAATTTTAGGATTTGTGTGCACATTACCTAAGGAAGCCTGCTGCCTTGGTTTAAAGGAACAGGAGGAGATTACAGGATTGCACATTCCTTCTTTTTGGTCCTGAACAATGTTAACCTTAAGATTTTAATTTAAAGCAATTTTAAAATCATTTTTAAATATCATTGCGGGTTTACATGTCCATCAGCCTTTAAACATCTGCCACCACAAGGTATTGCCACAACATTTTTTTGGTTCTGTGCTCACTAAAAGGCATTCCCATGATCTGCTCATCTTATTAATTTTTTTACAAATTGGAATTGCATGTGCCAGCAGGTTCCACTCACCTTCACAGAGCTTTGTTACAGCATTTTCACTACATCCTTTTGAAGATCTTTAGAAAGCTGTACTGAAGTGCTCCAGTTGTTGCCTATGTACCACTGTTTAATGAGCTGATTTACAGCATTTTAAAAAAAATTATCATTACATTTCTACCCCACCCTCCCCGCAAGTGGGCTCAGGGCGGCTGTTTCAGCAATTTCAGCCTCATCTTGATGATCATTCCAAAACCAAGCTCTTTCCAGTAACGAGCCAGTGGAATACACTGGTTCTGACAGCTAATGTAACCAACCCAACATTAACTGTGCAGCAGTATATAGAGAAGAATGGGCGTTCCAAAGCTTTCCAAAACCAGAGATGCTAAATATTTTATTTGCCATAGATTTACACATTTGCTTTGCTTTGCTTGCACACGGTGACTGCAGGAAAGGAATGAAGCAAGCAAACAAACAAACAAAAAGCCCTGCTTCCTCCAATCAGCTCGACAGGCACCATGTAGCAGCATTAGGGTTGCCTGCAATAGCGAGGAGGGCCTGGTCCCGGAGTTTAGCGCGCGCACACCACAATGACATCGCCTGGAAGTGACATAATCACGCTGAGCACATCACAGGGTGACACTCTAGAAATCGCCCTAAAAACTCTATGGCACCATAGAGTTTTCAGGGGGATTGCTAGATGTCATCACGCTGGGCACGTTGGCCTGATCTGGCCACTTCAGGGGTGGGGATCCCCTTGCCGGCCAGATGCGGACCGGCGGATTGGGGGCCCTTTTGGCGGGGGAATCCCCACCCCCCAGGGGGACTTGGCAGCACTAAGCAGCATTTGATTTGTTTGTGGCATACTCCTTCCCCTACATGATGCAAGGTTGATCATGATAACAGAAGATGACTTTGATTCCTTGCAAAATTATAGCCAAACTACTTCTATTGAAATCCATATAATAAGCCATGTTGCCTTTGTTTTGTTTTTACTACTGGACACCAAATTGTTAAGTCATAAATAGCTAGCCCTCATTTGCAAATAAGATACTCAGTACAGAAATCCTGAAAATACTTAAATGCAATCACAATTACCTTAGTGGGAAAATAGCGCTTGGTCTTAAATTGCTTGAGGAAAGAGGAGAGGAAAAATGTTGTAAAAAATAAAATGACACACCAAAAAAGAACATCTGGGAAATATGGGCCATGATGACCACATGCTGATCCATGAAACACACCCTGATAGGTCTTGCATTCCTGTAAATCAAGACATTTACAAAAATAAGTTATTATTCATTTATTTATGTTACATTTAGTCCTGTTCAAGAAAACAAAGTAGATATAGATAGATATAGATAGATATATAAACTTCATTTGCACCCCACATTTCTCCCCAATGAGGACCCAAAGTGGCTTACAACATTCTCCCTTTCTCCATTTTATATTCACAACAACAACCCTGTGAGGTAGGTTAGGCTGAGAGTGTGAGACTGGCTCAAGGTCAATCAGCAAGTTTCCATGGCAGAACAGGGAAACAAACCTGGGTCTCCTAGCTCCTAATCTCACACTCTCACTATTATACTACACTGGTGTATAGTAATGTGGTTGTGGTATACCATCCTGAATTCGGAATACACTAGAAATAAAGCTCCTTTAAGTTGCATCTAGATTAGCAACTCTAGGGAGACTGCCACATATTGTTACTGTCCATGGTCTCTGAACTTAATCACATCTGAATTTTACACATCTTACACTATATTGACCCTTTGATCTTGCTGTTTATATATGAAATTACAATAAAAGTTTTTAAAAAGTAAACAAGCATCCACTAAATGCATCTAGCCAATGAAAGCTAATACTAGGGGGGAAATTTGTTTTACTGAAGGTACCACGCAAGACTCTTTTTTTATTTTCTCAGCTCAAAGACAATACAATAAAAGAAGTAATCTGATTTTCTGTGAACATCAAGTAATGCGATAATTTTCTTTCTCCCCCCCCTATTTTGCAAATGTTTTGATCGCATCCTCATAGATTCCAGCTCACAAATATACAGAAAATGAGTACATGGAAAGCCACTATGTTTTCTAATAAATAATATTACATGACATAATGGAAACATTTCTAAGGGCCTGTGTGAACGAACACTGAGCACATGTCTTAGGCTCAAGAAAAAGCTTCCTTCTAAAAATACTGAATCAAATGCCTGAACCAGGAGACGGTGCATTTCAGATTGGTTATTCAAATGAATACAGTATTTTGCTTTTGGGGAATTTTGGTATATGTGCCACAAGTTTCACAGACAGCCATGCAGAGTCTGCTAAGCTAACTCTCTTCTCTAAAAGCAGAAAGACAGACAAAAGAAACAATTGGAACATAAAAAATGAAAATGCAGTTTACATTTCTGCCTACAGTTTCATTGATACAAGACTTCAGCAATCTTCATTATATCACTTATACTTGAGATAGGGAGGAAATTTACTAACTGCTTAAAAGCTAGACAGTTAAATAAAAAAAGACAACTTTAGTCATTGTACATCTCAGTCACCACAAAACAGGGTTGGATCCAGCCAGCTTTCCTGCTAGTGAAAACGGGATGAAAGGGTGCCTTTGATCACCAAAAACAGCTATTGTTGGTGATCATGAAACCTACATGGGGGCTGTAATAAGAAGGGGAACTTGGCAAGACAAAGGGGAAAAAACTGGTAGGATCCAACCCAGGAAATAAGACCGATGCGTGCCAAGTTATTTCAGACTTGACCTATAGTTATTCTGAAATGTGAAATTCTATATTTTACTCAAAGTACTCACACTAACTGTAAGGTTAGCCCATGATATAGTATCGGCAGATTTGTTATGCTTCATCCATAGTTCCAGTGTTTCATTGCTGGGATTCGGTGGCTCTGAACATACACATCTGGCAAATTTTAAATTTAAGCATTTTAGTCACTGCTTTATCTTATTACTATGAACTTGAAATTCACAGACAATACTCCAGTGATTTTAAAAATGTCTGTTCTGACAAGTTTAAAGTGCAAAAAAAATGGCAGGAAATGGTAAGCATATTTGCTGTAAGGGAAGCATAAAGTTCAGCTAGAATGACAAACTTGTTTTAATAATCAAAGTAACTAAAGATCTCATTTTTTTCTCAGTATGGTATATTAAAAAGACAATGGGATAAACAAGGAAGAAAATATGAAGAAAAAAATAAACTGCATGCAGAAGAACAGCAATAGCACATATATCCTTACATGACAGCTGTTTCTAATCTTTAACATGACAGAAGATAGATTTGAATAAATGGCAGAAAAGACTACCATGTTATGAAGTATATAGACCAAGCTTGTATCAGATAGGACCCACTCAGCCAGATGAACTATTAGCTTACTCTAGAAGGATTTAGTACTCTTTATAAGTTTGAATCAATATTTAGAAGGTGCATTACAGATAGGGTTGCCAAGTCTTACCTTGGCTTTAGCGGGGGGAGTCCAGTAACGTCATTGATAGAGCGTCCCCCCGTAACGTGCCCAACGTGATGATGTCACCTCTGGGTGTCGTCATCACGCCAGACACTTCTGGCACTTTGGGGGTGGGGTTCCCCCCCAGCGGCCCAAACCGGGCCGGCAGGGAATGGGCCTCTTGAGCGGGGGTTTCCCCGCTCCCTGGGGGAACTTGGCAACCCTAATTACAGAGTACTAGAAGTACTTCTAGCATTCATTCTCATGAAAGAAGATATTGCAATCTCTCCCCCCCATGTAATAATTTTATTAGCACCAACCAAAATAAAACAAAGAAACATAAATCTTGAAATCTGGCATATTATTTTTATTATTTTGGATGGTCCTGATAAAAAGGTACTACATGACTTCTCAATTTTGGATTTTTTTTTGGATCAGTGCAACTTTTGTCTATGTTTACGAAGAAAGGATACTTACGAATATAGTGTCAACCTATCCAGCTTATTGTGCATATTGAAAGAAAACACGTCTCTCAAGTGAAAAAGCTTTTCCAGTGCTTCATATATAAATATTATGCAAATAAGAGCAGCAAAAGCCTCCTCGGTAAATCGAGTGATATAACACACAAGGCTGCTTGCATCAGTTGCTACTAACAGTATACATAAAAACGATGTCCACAGACCAATGCTGGTTCTTAGAGACAGGTAAGAAAGTTCGTAATCCCTGTTTAAAAAAACAAATGTAGATTTAGTAAAACTATTACAACTACCAGTATTTAACTGAGGCACAAAATAGACAAGATCCAGGTTGCAGTCTAACTTCTCTGCTATTGCTTATTTCCCTCTGCCTCCTTATAGCACAGTTCTTGTCAGGATTTTTGGAATCTAATACCATTTAAAAAGTACACAAAAAGGAAAACAAGGCTGCATTTATCTGTACTGGTGTTCACTAAGTGGTCATCTGTGCAGTCACAGGTGGAGGGGGGAAACTGCATATGTGTAGACCAGTCACAAAACATTCCAGGACTGAATCAATAAAGCCAGGGAATTTTGGGGGTAAAAGGAAAATGGTTCCCTCCTTCCTTTGCACATGACTTAGAAACAGGGAAGTATCTCATGCTCCAAAGAGTGCTGAAACTTTCTATGGCTAGACTGCACAATGCATATAGCCCACCACCCATATGGAACTTTATACCTCAGGATGGTAAATCCTTCTTGCTGACATTCTAGCTTCTCAAACTGAGCTTTTGATGCAGAAGTATGTGATCCCACCTACCAGGATGGTTGTACCTCATGGTTTTTCTGAAGATTACAGCTGATGTTCAGATATTTTTGCTAGAGCTTATGTCTTTGTGCTAAAGAGAAGATTCCTAAATACTTTTCTATCACTTGTAGATAAGACTGTTTCCAAGAAAAGCTTCTTCTCTACTTAATTCCAGGGTTCGGGCAGTGACCTGTTGAGCTGGAGTAACCTAAATAATATAACTATTTCCCTTGCTGTATGCGTGACACCAACACTCCAGGAAAATATGTACTTATATTACCTCCTAACAAGTAATATGGTAACACACCACATTACAAACGTTGCCTTTATTGCCAAGAGACTTAAACGGTATTTAAATCAAGAATCTCATGGCTGAAAAAGTAAAAAAACCCACCCTACAAACATACAGACTAAAGACATATTTAATTCCAGAAAATTCACAAGCCTGTTCATTTAGTATTTTATTTCTGAAACAGTTAATGATATATTCATTAACATCAGGGGTCATTTCCTGCAGGAGCGCACAGGAGCGGAGCTCTGGCAGTAAAGAGCCCAGGGGGCATGCACATGCAACAAGCCCCACCCCCTGCTCCCAGCAGCCCTCAGCCAGAGCAAGAAGCAGCCAGGTAAGTTGCAGAGCTCCCCCCGGCCCCCTGGTCCAAAACAGTCCAGTGGCACCTTTAAGGCCAAGTTTTATTCAGGTATAAGCTCTCCCTCCTCCGCAAGGACCGATCTAGCTATCAATAGCTAGCAATCCAAAACAGTCCAGTGGAGCCTGAGCGGTGGGTGTTGCCTTCTGACACACTTCCGGTGATGTCAGGGGGTGTGGCATATGCAATATGTTATGCTAATGAGTTATGCTAATGAGCTCCTGCACCTCTTTTTCTACGAAATGACCCCTGATTAACATGAATTCATGGTATTGTGTTCATATTCAAGAATCTATATAGCATTATACTAGCTGCTACTTTCCCTCTCAGGTTCTTAAAAAAAAACCCCAAGGAATATCTCTGATTAAACATAATGAGCACAAAATTTTGAGAATAAAAATAAACTTACTTGCAAAATTTATATAAGATTTTTTCAAATACTAAAACAGGTCCAGTGCTCCCCAATATTGTCAAAGGTTGCCCAGCGAACAGTGAATAGGCAATCCCAGTTAATGATGCTCCAAATAAAGATTCTATTGCACTCTGAGGGGAAAGAAAAACCTGTGATTCACCGAACACATAGTTACCACTTGCCACCGTGTTTTTACACATATTCCTTACATATTAACTTGTAAAGAGAATAAAAGTAAACATTATTGCCTATATACAGCCTCACACTAGAATTTAACATAATATGGTGGGTATTTGGAAAATTTGTCATGAAAGAAACAAAGTTATTCAAAAACCATGAGATCCGATTATTCATTTGGGGAGCTAAGAGAAGAAAAGGTATATACCTAAACCCCTAAAATGCAATACCTAATTAATATAGGGAGAATCAGATAAAGGGCTTTCTCCTGTGTGAAGAAGGTAATGTTGCAACCAACTATCAAAACTAATTATAATGAGCTATATTAAACTTGTACTAGTCAAACTAATGACAAAACAGAAATGACTATACAAGAATGATTTAATGTATAAGGAAACAAATGAACACAGGGAAACAAACGAAACAAAATTTATTATCCCACCTGGTAATGAATATTCTTAATTACAATGTTCTAGAACTGTACAGCTGTTTTCTTAACACCTTTTTAATACAGTATCCCATGATATTACCCATGCATAGGAAACAGGAGGACTTAACCAAAGTCATATTAAGTTATATTAATTTTAAAGGATCAAAAGACAATGAAAAATAGATTATTGAACTAAAACTTCCTTATCCCATGGAAAACTATTCAAAAGTGATTAAAATAATTACCAGGCAAGCACAATACTAGCTGACTTAATGTGCACCTAAATCCACCATAACTAAGGGAAACACTTAAGTACCAACATAAGGGGTATGCGAAAGGGGTATTATAACCAGTAGTATGTCATGATCTATACACAACAGAGACAGCACAAAGGATTAAGCCTGTCTTTGTAACATCAACCATGAACTAATTAATGCAGGCAGGATAACAAGGGCAGGAGCACTCCTGAGGTGATGGCCTCTGGAGGTGAATGGAAGTGGTGTGAACACAAGTGTGTACCTTACAAGCCAGTTACTGAGTATGAACACACGTGTGTAGTAACTAATATATTCACTGATGAACACCAAGCAAATGAAGGCAGCTAAAAGAAAGAAGGCATTTTTGTATTTTAGCACAAGAGAAACACATTTTCAACCAGTTGTGTGACAACGCTCAGACAAGTACTTCAACAAAACCAAGTGCTACTGAATTACAAGGTCATTTTAAAATTCCGAAAATAGGTTCCTCACGGGGTATTGTTTTGGGGGAGGGGGGAGGCCAGTCAACCAAACAACAAAAAATATAAATACTCAAGCACAATAAAGCTAAATAAACTTTGCCTGAAAAAAAAATTAAGTCTGGTAAATGAGCAGTATTGTTACAGTATTGAAAAATAAAGGTATGTTTTTAAAAGCAATGAACATTTTATGTAGATATGACAAATGTTAAAAATAGACATTTATTGCTTTCTTTTCTGAAGGACAGACTGACATCTTGAGAAAGAAGTGCTCTAAATTTTCAAACAGTTATATAACAATACTGAATCACTGACCTTAACCCATGCCACATACAACCACTCCCATTTCTATTAACTGTAAAGCCCTACTAGGTCATCTGCCATAACACCCATAGAATTTTGAATCATAATTAAATGTGACAAAATGGTTAAGGTTTACAATGATTTCTTTCTTGTTAAGATCAACTGCATTTTAATGCAAAACTAGAGTAGGACACGTAATAAAAATATTTCTGAAAATATGACATATTAGAGGACCAAGCTTCATATTACACACAAATATGTGTATGTAAACTTGATGACTGTCAGGATTGGGCCAAGCAGGACAATGATTGATTCTTGTAGGGGAAAACAACTTCAAAAAGCAGCAAATTGGAATGCAGATGGGGTAACAGAGGGGAGTGGTTAACTTGTTCCCCCAATCTTTGCTTTTCTGCTGCAGCCTCCTATCCCAAAGCTACCAACCCTGCCAGCAGGAAAATATCCATCTGGAATGTCTCAGCAGGAGAGATAGAAAGTAGCCACGGAGGGGGTCTGAAGTAGAAAACCAGTAGACCAAAAAAGGTTTAAGGCCCCTGTCCTAACATTGTGTCAAACCCCTCTTAACACAAGCACAGTCTGTCTGATTCCATGATTGTGCATGTATAATATTTATTACCAGCCCTAACAATACTTTATTTTCACTTTACTTCACAGACCTACTGCCCTATAAGGCAATCTGAACCATCAGTCTTGAGTAGAAATCAAGGCAGTGTACTCAGATGCCTGTTAATGGCCTTTTTAATATATAAAGACAAAGCATGCTATCTCTCTCTCAATTCGTGGAACAGTTCATTAAGACAGGATCATTTTTTTTTACCTTAACTGTGCATCTTCTCCTGCTCACACATACATATTCTTCATGTTTTCCACAGCAGTTAATAATTGAGGAACATCTACTGTGGGGCTAATCAAATGCTGTGGGCTAAAGGTTTTCAAATAAAGGTAGAAAAATAAAGGAGACAAATGAACACAGTCACTTGCCTCTGGAAATCTAAAAGCCTGGCTACTACCATTCTTTGTACTCACTATTCTGTTTTCTGTAGCTTCTCCAAGGAGCCCTCCAAAAGTGATTACAGGAGACATACAGGCACAGTATAGGAAAAGAATCGAGGCCAGGCACTGAAGACTTAATGCATCCTTGAAGTCACTCAAGAAAAAAGGTGCTTTCCTTTTGATGTCAAGTATCAAACCACCAAAAAGCCTAAATAGGTGAGATGAAACTCGTCAAACTGTACACTAAAGGACTCCAGAATGCTTAAAACTATGGGAGAAGCAAGACTGACTGCTGATTTTCAGCATAAATTAGCCTTTTTTATGTAGTCCAAATGTATTCATAATACAGACCGCAAAGAGTATATCAATGTCATTTAGTTGGTTTCAGTACTGAAATTCTGTTGGTTTTTGTTTTTTTGTTTTTTTTATTACCAGCATATATTGTGTATATAATGGGCTAGACACCGAAAAAAGCCTGGCAAATTAGTCTACCAATTTCATCCATATCTCATAATAAAAATAACAAAATATTTTGTAAATATTCTCACCTGCCAACTCTGTAGGACTATTTATTTCCTGCATTTGTGATGTTTAATAGAAACTTCTACTAGTAAATAGGTTCTCTCTGATCAACGTACAACTTGGAAATCTCATGTATTTCAGAGAAACATATATCCATATGGATGGCCAACAGCTTTTTGAATCTCTAACACATACATATGGTGGTGTGGGTGTGAACAGAGAACTTGTCCATTCTGTTCTATACTAAGAAATGCCCTGTGTACTTCCCATAAAAAGGGACTAAGACAACCTTATGCGCACTGTTATATGAGCCCACATTTATATCCCAGATATTTGCATACACTGACTAGAGAATTTTGTAAACTTGATAAATTAAGCCAGTAAATTAAATTTACTTAATTACTTAATTTACTTAAATTAGGTTTGCCCCCATAATTTATTTTGCTTCTTGCAGTAATGGAGAGGAGCTCTGAAATGCTCCTGTGCCAACCTCTGGAACTCATATTCAGCCCCGTCTCTAAATTCAGAGAGCAGGCGTTACGCACACACTAAATTAATCAGAAATTTGCTCCAAATGAAAAATTGTAATTTCCTGGAGTTTGCACCTGCATGGTGGTTGTACTGATCTGCTAAATATTGCAGAGCACTGAATAATTACCCAAGCCAAGGGACTCTTATATCACAGTTATGTTGAAAAAGCGCAAAGTAGTTACCAAAAATGCCAAACAACTTGCAACTGTTTGACATGCTATTTTTATAGACACGTATAAAATCATCATCTAGGAAGGAATCCAGTTTTAATTTAAGAAAAATAACTACTATATGGGAAATATGCCAACATGTATTTTGAAACTCATAGAAATAAATCTGGGCTATTGTTTTCATTTACTTAAGAACATGAGAGAATCCATGTTGGATCAGGCCAATGACCCATCCAGTCCAACACTCTGTGTCACATAGTGACCAAAACCCAGGTGCCATCAGGAGATCCAGCAGCAGGGCCAAAACTCCAGAAGCCCTCCCACTGTTGCCCCCCCAAGCACCAAGAATACAGAGCATCACTGCCCAGACATGGTGTTCCATCTATACCTTGTGGCTAATAGCCACTGATGGATCTCTGCTCCATACTAAAATTTCTTCAAGAGGAAAGCGTTATTTGTTTTGTGGGAAAGTTTTGTGGGAAAGTCTTCCATTCTCTAAACATGCCCTTTTAATATTGACCAAATACTAGTAAATCACAGCTTATATATTTATCAGGAGCTTTGGTTTAGCGCTTTTGTAGAACCCAGCTTAGCCAAGAAAATTGTCTTTGAAGACTATTTTTGCCTTCCTAAAAAGTTTTTCCTTTCTGTAAGTGTCAAGAATCTTTGAACATATGGACACCTCTAAATGTTTCAGATTGAAAAGGAAAGGTCTTAATTTTAGGGAACATTTTTAAATATCTAGCCCACTATAGACAACTTCCAGTTTTAAGCTATTCTTCTGATAAACATATGCCTTTCAATATTTTAGAAACTGGTTCAATTTGAAATAATATTGAGTTCATCAAAGCATCATTATACACTATATTAGAACAAAGTTTAAGTCCAGTGGCACCTTTAAGACCAACAAAGTTTTATTCAAAGTGTCAGCTTTCGTGGGCAAAGCACACTTCTTCAGTCAAATGCACACAAAAGCTTACACTATGAATAAAATTTTGTTGGTCTTAAAGGTGCCACTGGACTCAAACTTTGTTCTGCTGCTTCAGACCAACACGGCTATCCACCTGAATTTTTATGCACTATATTGTTCCCCAACAAGATACTGAGGAATACTACAAGGCCCAAACAGGCCAACAAATTAGATGACAAATATTTAAGGTAGATACAATATATTTCTCATTGATGTAAGTTTTTAGCATGACATTATGCACATTTCTATAGCGGTAACTGTTTCTTTGACATTACTAGCAGTTAAGCAAACACAACACACCTTCCAGTCCTTTGTAATTCAGGTCCAGCATGATGGGCTTCTTCTTTGAGAGGCTCTCCAGGAGTAACAGCTCCATTTGGAAATTTAGGTATCTTCCTTTTTTCCTGCATGAAGAAATGACATTAATGTTTTCGTTTTGCATGAATGTTACATTAAAATTAAAAGCATTATTTCGTGCTTTCCTTCTGTCATCTAAGCAGAGTTCGACAGACTCGGCTTGACATTTTCTTGCAAGCATGAAATTTTTTAAAGATCATCATAAACGCCAATAAAAATATCAACTAATTATACCAAGCAACAAACATAGCTCTGGCTGCAGTCACACAAAGTAATCCACTTTCAACCCACTTTCAGTGAACCAACTGGATTTTACTGTGTCAACTGGCAAAAACAGTTGGAAAGTGCATTGAAAAAGGCCTGAAAGTAGATGATTTAGTGTGTGAGACTGCAGCCTCTGAAAGAAAAAAAATTGGTACTAGAACATGTGAACAACAGAACTATCACTCGAATCACAGTACAGAGAGCCAAATTTCTGCTTAGAATTAAACATTACTCCCCTAAGGGCCAAACAAGATGTGAAGTTTTTCTATGACCCTGATCTGGATTGCCCCAACCTGACTCTCATGCTCCTATGGTCAGATGGCAGTTGCAGGCAATCAATTCAAACTGAGACCATGGGGGGGGAGGGGGACTTCAACCTTCCCCTCCAGCATCATTTTTCCAACCTGAAATTGTCCCCGGGGACAATATTTGCTCTGTTGGGAGGCTGCATGTGCAGTAGCTGATACACAGTATACATATTGGCATCTGACAATACACAGTATGCCACTAGGTGGTAGTTATTTGTGTGCATTTGAATGCATCATGACATATGTTTGCATATATTTGTTCATGAAGCTAAGCACGTTTGTGTTTGGTCAGTGCCTAGACTGGAGACTACTCGAGTAACAAATCCAAAGATTCCTACACATACATCTTGAGAACCTGCATCACAGAAGAAGTTAGCGCATGAAAATTTTCTACCAAAAAATTACATCAGTTACAGTTTCAGATAATCAGCCTGTAAATAAACTCTACACTCTAGCTATGATCACATAATTTGCAATCATACGGAAGCACAGAAATACAGTAGAACATCGCACTGACCACAGAATTCATTTACCAGTGAATTTACTTTTTAAATAGTTTTCTAGCCCTCATATTAGTGAAAACAGATTATTATGAAAGTGTAGGCAAAATGCCTGATGAAATGTCAAAAGCTAGAAGAGCTGCACAGACCTCCTATGGCCTTCTACACCATTATACAATTTAAAAGGTTGTCATCTGCTGAAAAAGTTCTTACCTGAGAAGGAACGCTTTTAGGTGGTTCAATTCGTATAGATGGATCCCACTCTCCTGGGGGCAAAACAGTCACTTGATCTAAAAACTCATCAATTCCAGAGAGCAGATCATTTCGGTCTTTAGCTTTATAAGCAACATCATGGAAAACCTTCATAAACACACATACATACAAATTTACATTTGATTTTATGACATGACGACACTAGCCTGATATACTGCAGAATAACAACTGGTATTTTCAAGGCTCGAACAAATATGTTTTATATGTAAATAATGTAATACCCACACCTTTTGAACTGATAAAAATGTGTGTTTAAATTGCATTTATATGTACAGGCAATGCATAATTAGAGAATTATGTCACCTATCGTATTTTAAAAAAAATCAGTACACTATACCTGTCAATATCTTGGAAAACTGGAGGGAGGTAAGGGAAGTAATAGTGGAATTAGTTGTTGTAGATTTTCCGGGCTGTATGGCCATGGTCTTGGCATTGTAGGACCTGACGTTTCGCCAGTAGCTGTGACTGGCATCCTCAGAGGTATAACGCAGAAAGAAGGAGTACTCTCTGTGTCAAGGTGAGAAGAAAAATGGTAGGCAGGTAATTTATATCTACTCAGGAAGGTGGGGTAGGGCTAAGTCATTACCTTGTAGGAGTTCCCCAGGCTGTGACATGCTAATGGATTGGCTGTTGAAATTCTTATCTGTAGTACTATTGTAAGATGTAGAGCATTTTGTGTTTTTCAGGACAGGAACCGTGCCCTATTTATTTTTAAACTCTCTTCTTTCCTGTTGAAATTGTGTTTATGTTTATGAATTTCAATGGCTTCCCTGTGTAATCTGACATGGTAATTGGATGTGTTGTCCAGCCTTTCAGTGTCTTGGAATAAGATACTGTGTCCTGTTTGAGTTAGGCTATGTTCAGCCACTGCTGATTTTTCAGGTTGGCCCAGTATGCAGTGTCTTTCGTGTTCTTTTATTCTTGTCTGAATGCTACGCTGTGTGGTCCCGATGTAAACCTGTCCACAACTGCATGGTATGCGATATACTCGTGCAGAAGTGAGGGGGGTCTCTTCTGTCTTTTGCAGATTGTAGCAGCTGTTGTATTTTTCTGGTGGGTCTGAATACTGTTTGTATGTTGTGTTTTTTCATAAATTTTCCCATCTGATCAGTGATTCCTTTGATATATGGCAAAAACACTTTTCCTGTGGGAGACTGTTTTTCCTCAGTTGTTTGTTTTACCTTTGGTTTAATTGCTCTTCTGATTTCATTCTTGGAGTAGCCATTTGCTACAATGCCAAGACCACGGCCATACAGCCTGGAAAATCTACAACAACTAATGAACTCCAGCCATGAAAGCCTTCGACAATATATTAATAGTGGAATACCTAAATGCATTTGGAGATGGTAAGAAAGGAATAACAAAGACTACATCTGAAGGGAATACAGCCTTCACTGAAGAATCTTCTAGGGCCATGTTTCAATTGGCAATAAACTTGAACAAATAAGGGTAAGATTTCCAGAGAGCCCTCAAAGAAAGTTTCTAGGAAAAGATCTGTACATAACCAAACTCTAACATTCTACATTAGTAAAGTACTTAATAATTTAGTCTTGCAATTATTGTGCCAATGTTGTCAGTCTTAAATAGATACAATATGATTACAATTGCCAAAATCAATAAGCAACTGTTTTGCTATACTACTTAGCAATAACCTTTTATTGCTTTATATTAGCTTATACTCCAAAACTAGGGTTTTACACAATAGAGGACTATAAGCCTCTTACCAGGGCATCTCATTTCAGGAAAAAACTCAACACTGGCCCCGGTCACACGGGCCAGAAAACGCGGTGGGGACGCGTGGCTCTTTGCGCCGTTGCAATCTGATGTGCGATTAGGCGATCAGACTTGACGGCAGCACACCGGAGCTTCCACCGTTGGCGCACGCAGCAAAGAGGACGGCTGGCTCGTTCACACCACAGGAGTTCGGAGGCAACCCGTGGCAAACCATTTGCTGGTAGATCGAACCTGGTAGCTTTTAACTATGCGGCTTCAGCAGCTTGGCCACGGGAGTGCTACGCCTCCCAGATGTTCCGGTGAGATCGCGCCCGGAAAATCCGCCACAGTATCGTGCCTTTAGTGGGGCAAATGCTCCGTGTGACTGGGGCTACTATACAACTAACAGCATCTCAGACAAACCCTACTATGTAACGCAGATCTATATTAGATCAAGATAATGCTTATGACAGGTGTCCTTAATGAGGCACCGATGGGTACCACCAATACCTTTCCTGGTGCCACTAAGAGTTTTCAGAAAGTGGGCAGGTGCTTTTGGCCAGCATGTGGAGGTGCTTTTACCCATCAGGGCTTCTGATTGGCCACTGGAAATCTGACTATGCAGATTTTTTAAACGTTTCTTCTGCAGCTGCTGCCACTACTACACATGGATCTTTACTGCGTAACTGCTGTGTGTACACAAGAAAATATTTTAAACAATATGTTCATTTAAAAAGGCATCTTATTAGACAGAGCTTCTGCCTGAGATGTTATAGAGTTTCTTCCCTTACATTTTGTGGTTGGCGCCACCATTTGTTCTGCCTTGACCTGGATAGCCCAGAGTAGTCCAGTCTCATCAGATCTCAGAAGCTAAGCAGGGCTGGCCCTACCTAGTAATTAGATGGGAGACTACCAAATGCCTAGTACTCACATCATCAGTCATAAGCGTTGCTATTGATCGGCCAATTTCATGGTATTGAGGCGCTTTGCCTGCTGGACCCAACAAAATAAAAAGGAATCTGTGAAAGAAACAGACTATGAGAAATCAGATATTAATCTAAATAAAGCAAGAGGTTATATTAAGCAAACAGTTTTATTTGGAGGATCTACTAGTCAGGTTGCATATATCAATTAGAACGAATAAATATCTAGATCAAGCAAGGGAAAAATTAAGTTAATGTGTTTGGATTCCAAAAAATCTAAGGGACTATTTTTAAATGAACATATTACTCAGAGAGACACTTATATATTAATTCAAACTAGTCACTTCATAGTTACTCAGAGAGACACTTATATATTAATTCAAACTAGTCACTTCATTCACTTTTACTGTTCTCCTGCTCTAAGCAAACTTTGCCAAAATTTGGCTACAAGTCGGCAATTTAATTTTTAGACCACTACAGACATGTCTGCACTTTGCAGGTAAATACTGTGAGTAAGCCCAGTATTTTAATTTTTAGACCACCCGGCACTAGCAAAGAATCTGGGTCAGTGAAGGATAGGAAATTAACATTTTCCTTTTATTTTAAAAAACAGATAAAATGTCTACAGTGTAGACTCAGGATAATTAAGATGCAAAATAGATAAAGAGATACAGATTCCTTCCCCAATCAAAACCATGCTAGCTCACGATCCTGTATAGCCACCAGATGGAAATCCCACCTTGCCCCTAGGATTGAGCTATGGTTCACAAAAGTCTGGGACCTCTTTATACTAGAGAAAATTACAAACCATGTCAGATGCATAGACCAATTTCCTAAGAAGACCTTCTTCTCTGCAAAATGGCTACCCTTCTTCGAAATGATAACTGAGAAAGACATTCAACCACACAAACAGATATATCTCAAACTACTCTACATTTAGATAACACAAGAGGGGGGACCTGGGGGGGGGGAGTATTCCCCACAGCTCCCGGCCTGCAGAAGCGGCAGCAGGGGAGCCCATTCTCCCCCCCCCCCCG